TTTTTTTCTTTTTGCTTATGTGGTGCTGGGGAATCGAACCCAGGGCCTCATGCATGCAAGGCAAGCGCTCTACCACTGAGCCACCTTCCCAGCCCCTCTACATGAGTTTTAGATTGGCACCCACACCTGCAGTCATAAAATTTTAGAGCTTATGGCTCTTGGTCATTATGTAATACAGCCCTTAAATTTACAAGTGAACAAGTACACTTGCATTTTGAATCATTATTATGATTTAGATTGTTTTAATACTCATGCTTTCAAAAATACATTACAAATAAAAGGTAATTTCAGCTACTCAGGAGGCAGAGACACTTTGAGGATTACAGTTTGAGGATAGTCTGGGTAAAAAGTTAGTGAGATCCCATCTTATAAACAAGCCAGGTGTGGTGGTTCATGTCCCAGTTTCTTGGGAAGTAGAGGTGAGAAGAACATGTGTGAGGCCAGCTGGAGCGAAAGGTGAGATCCTGTTAGAGAAAGCAAACGAAAGCACAAAGAACTGGGGCCTGGCTCCAAGAGCGAGGCCTGGAGTTCAATCCCCAGTACTGCCGAAAGGAAAACGGAGCCAGGTGTAGGGCTGCAGGGCTCTCATCCCAGCTACACAGGAAGTATAAATAGCAGGGTCGCCTCTGCTTGAATGTAAGAGCCTACATGAAGAATAAAACACAAGAGGGAGACATGGCTCAAGTGGTAGAACACCCATCCAGCAAGTGTAAGGTTTTGAGTTCACACTCCAGTACCATAAAAAGTTACAAATAGTTGACATTTTATCAATGAATTGTAAATATTCATTGAATTATGAATAGTTTATTAATAATTTTTACCATAGAACATTCATGGTTTCCTGCTTATTAAGCATGTATTTTCCCCTTGAGCCATATGTCCAGCCCATTTTAGCTGCATAGAATTGAAGGTGTGTAAGTCAGCACACAGCCAATGTACTGGGTTTTTTTTTTTGTCAGTTGTGGGGCTTGAACTCAAGGCCTATGTACTGTACCTCAGTTTTCTTGCTCAAGGCTAGCAATCCACCGCTTTGAGCCACAGCACCACTTCTGGTTTTCTGGTGATTAATTGGAGATAAGAGTCTCATAGACTTTCCTGCCTGGACTGGCTCAAGCCGCAATCCTCAGATCTCAACCTCCTGAGTAGCTAGATGTGAGCCACCAGTATCTGGCAGTGTGCTCTATAAATTTTGAGAAAGGTTCTTTCTCCTTTGTGTTCTCATGCCTAGACTATGATTATTCTGTGTGTACTTGCTGCTCTCGGTGGAGATAGGCACACACACTTTCATACCTTGGGATTGGTTGAGGTGAGGCTCTTGTGGACTCTTTGTCTGGGCTGGCCCTGAACCATAATTCTCTCTACCTCTGCCTCCTAAGTACTTAGGATTATAGCCATGTGCCACCAGCATTTAGCCTACATAAAACAATTATGTTTATATTAATTGTACAAAGGGATTTTATGGATGTTAATGAATATTCATGTAAACTGCTTTGATGCAATTACTCTTATTCCTTCCTCCCCTACTTTTAAAATAATTGTAATGGGTTTATATTGTTTACATACATATGTATGTTGTGCTTTGGTCATCTTCACTGCTGTACTTTGTCCTGGCCTTTCACTGTCCAACTCCTGCTGGTGTCCAGCCCCACATAGACCCTCTGCCTCCCCGTTATACCACAGCACTTCTCTGAGAGAGCACGTGTGGCGTGTGTCTTTTGCAGCCTGCCTTGCTTCACTTCATGTGATGTTCTCCAGGTCCACTCATTTTCCTGCAAGTGACATTCGTGTCAATGGCTGAAGACTCCTCCACTTGTTATATTCTCCCCATTGTCTTTCTCATTCTGTGGTTGATGGACAGCAAGGAGAGTCCATTAATGTGAATAATGCTGCTGTAAACAATAATGCTGCTGCACCTTGGCTGCAAGCTGACTTACATGCTTTGGATTCTATGCAGGAGTGCTACAGCAGGATCATTTACTTCTAGTTTCCTCTCCATACCGACTGACTTCCATAGCATTTGCGTGAATTGCTTTCATACCCATGGTGTATCTGTGTTCTCCCCCGCCCTCAGCACTACAAAAGTGAGACCAGCATTTGTTGTTTGTTTTACTGATGGCTGATATTCTGATTGGGGTGAGATGGAACCTCAGTATAGGTTTGATTTAGAGAAAGCTATTTCTAAGGCTGAATTTGAGTGCCCAGCAAATTTGTCTTGAAATAAAAACACCTGAGAGAGTGTTGAATAATTGTATTTATTTTTAAGCCTAATTTTAAATGAATTTATTGAGAAGCCAGCCTCTTATCCCAAAGTCCATTTGTGGGAGTTGATCGCTGATGGCCTTGCTTCTGGTTTTATGTTTTCAGAGTACTTTGAGCACAACAGTTTTGAACAGTTTTGCATCAACTATTGCAACGAGAAACTTCAACAGTTTTTTAACGAAAGGATTCTGAAGGAGGTAATTGCAGCTGTAATTTGAAACTCCGATCTGCATTGAATTGTTTTAACTTCCAGGGAAGAGAAAGACTGAGTGGATACTGTGATTAAGGGGAGGAGGTGAGGGAAGGGAGAGGGGCACCCAGCAAGCCGGGGTAGCTGAAGTTTAAGACCCTGATGAATACTTTTGGTGGTAAGGTTTGAACTCAGAACCTTGTACTTGGAAGGCAGGTGCTCTACCACTTGAGCCATGCACCTCAGATTGTGATGACACACTCTTAGTAGGCACTTCCTCAGAAGGGAAGAGCTGCAACTTCTTGCTAGCAACTTCGGCCAGACTTCGTCCAGCTTACTTTTTCTGATTCTGGTCGTCTCCACGTGCGCCACTGCTAACCTGCCCTCTCATCCCTCACCTTGCCTCTCTGTCCTTCATCCCGGGTCTGCTTCTGCCACTGCTGCTGCAGCCTGCTCACATCTGTTGCCAGAGGCCGGGGAGCCCCAAGCTCCGGGCTCTGGGGTGCACTGCTGTGGCCTTTAAGCGGCCAGCCCTGGCCAACCAGCTTCCATTTCTGGTTCATTAAGAACTTCCCTCCTCTGCCCACAGTAAGGACAGAGGCTAAGACCTACAATACTGATGCCAGAACGTTCCTTTCTAATCCAAAGGTAGCTTTGGATCGTGATTAGACACATTATTTTACCCCTTACATTTGAATTCTCCACAACATTTTCCTGTATTTTTATTTTTATTTATTTATTTTATTTATTTGTTTGTTGCTCGTGGGGCTTGAACTCTGGGCCTGGGCGCTGTCCCTCAGCTCTTCAGCTCAAGGCTAGTGCTCTACCACTTGAGCCACGGTGCCATTTCCATTTTCCAGTAGTTTTATTTGTACCTTTGACTTTCCTTCCTTCGTATCATTGGAGCGGTGTTTTGCTGCTTGCAGATGCCAGGGATAAAGGCTCATGAGAGTTCAAGTCCAGCTCCATCTTTTCTAGAGGGACGAGAAATCAGTTTCCAGAGCATTTTAGCTGGTTTGGGGGTGTCGGCAGTCTGAGCCCCCTTTCCCACCTGCTGCTGGCCCGAGGCCTCTGCTTCCTCTGTGTGAGCGCTGCCAGCTCTTCCTGTGCTCACCTCAGCCCCGCTCTTTCCTGAGTTCTGCCCTGTGCTGCGTTTGGCTGAGGTGCGCTGGGCCTCCTGTATGCCTTGCCCGACAGTCAGTGCAGTTCTGTCTCTGTGGCTTCCCAGCTGTCGTACACGTCACTCATGGGCTCAAGCAAGGTTGTGACATAGATAAATGGGTGCCCTGGATTCTTATTGGTGAGAGAGTTGCTCTGGAAATGCTCTGGCCAGAGGCTTAGGTCTTCCATTGCCTGTTGACGTTTCCCATGCTTGCCCCTTACCTCCCATGCCCATCCTTCCGTCCAACTAACCCGGCCCCAAGGTCCATCCAGAAGTCACAGCCACCTAAAGAGAAGACATGGCATGGCCTTCATATATGGTGACTCTGTGTGTGTGTGTGTGTGTATGTTGAACTCAGAGTCTGGGATCTGCCTCTTGAACTTTTTACATTCAAGGCTGATTCTTTACCATTTGAGCCACAGCTCTACTTCCAGGCTCTTGATGGTTAATTGGACATGAGTCTCACAGACCTTCCTGCCTAGACTGGATTCAAAGTGTGATCCTCAGAGCTCAGCTTCCTTTGTAGCTAGGATTATAGGCGTGAGCCACAGGCATCCACTTATGGTGACTTTTATAATCATTACAATAAACGAATTTCAAATTTAGACTAAGCTCAAGTGGTCAGTACCTTCTAGAATGTCAGAAAACTTTTCTAGTACAGTTCAGGGGAGAAAAGATTTAGATATTCAGAAAGAAAATATTAGGGCACCTTACCCTAATCTCACCCATGGGTCATGCATCTGATAATATCCTTTACATTAAAAAAATCTGAGTATCCATCAGCTTAGTATATTGACTCTTCCATATTGCATAAGTATTTCCATAGCTGTAATTGCAATGACTTTATTTACAGGAACAAGAACTATATCAGAAGGAAGGTTTGGGTGTGAATGAAGTTCATTATGTGGATAATCAGGATTGCATAGGTATGTATTGTTTTCCATTTATGGAAAGTATGGGATACATACAATGGATACATTTATGAGAATTTTTCTGGGCTCTGATTTTATACACATCACCAGTTACAGGGTGGGAACTGTGGTATTTGAGAGAGGTTTACTTTTGTTTTTTTTTTGGTGCTGCAACTGGGGCTTGAACTGACAGTCTCACATTTTAGCTTTGCTTTTGTGCTCAGAGCTGGTACTCTACCACTTGAACCATACCTCCACTTCTGGACTTTTTGCTGATCAACTGGGGGTAAGAGTCTCTTGGACTTTCCTCCTAGGCTGGCTTCAAACTAGGGTCCTCAGATCTCAGACTCTTGAGCTAAGATTATGGGCATGAGCCACTAGCACCTGGCAAGAAGTTTACTTTTTTTTTTGGTCCATTGTGGGGCTTGAACTCTGGGCCTGGGCACTGTCCCTCAGCTCTTCAGCTCAAGGCTAGTGCTCTACCACTTGAGCCATAGCGTCACTTCCGGTTTTCTGATGGTTAATTGGAGATAAGAGTCTCACGGACTTTCCTGCTGGGGCTAGCTTTGAACCATGATCTTCAGATCTCAGCCTTCTCAGTAGCTAGGATTACAGGCGTGAGCCATCGGTACCCTGCTGAAGTTTACTTCTTTAGTGCTGTTGAGAAGTAATTTTTCTAGGTATCAAATCAAGCCTTTTCTAAAACCTCTTCTGTTATTGGGATATGTAGACCAGTGAGGAGGAGGTGTCAGAGGCTGGAAGCTGATGGCTTTGTCACCTCAGATGACAAGGCCTTGGGCTTGCCAGGGCTTGCCTCGGGCCTGATCAGAGAGGCCAGGCCAGCATTGCTCTGGCTGTAAGGGGTCCTCTGGGGTCCCACACGTCCTGTCCAGATAACACCACACCATCCACCAGGACCCTGCTTTCCATGTCTGTCTCAGCAGTGCAGTGCAGCCACCGTTCCCTGTGGTCCCCAGCGGCTGCCCATCTCTTTCTTTTCTTCCTGCCCCATCTCTGAAATCAGATGTTGGGCAAGCTCTTTGTTTTACAAGCCAAATTTGGTGATCCATCAGTAACTTGTGTACTAGACTTGGACATCATAACATTACACTAATAGTAATGTTAGTTTACACTTTTCAAACCACTTTGGCATCCTTCCTGGCCCCCCCACATTCCCTTAACACACAGTCCTGCCTTTGACTGTGTGATTGGCAGTCTGGGTGGAGTCCCTCCCCTTCTGGGTGTTTCCAGTTCATCCTCATCTCTTCCTCCATCTTTGACTCTGCTCTCATTAGCAGCTTAGGTCACCACACTCTTCCCACCACCAACTGCCCAAACTTTCCTTTTTGGACTGATTTAATTAGAATCTTGATTTCTCTTCTTGCTCAATTCAGCTCTATCCCAGTCAATAGTTTATATATACAGTGTTTAAGGAGTTGAAATTTTATACATACTTTGAACAAACAGAAAAAAGCATAATGAAAGCTTTTGCTGTGTAAAAAGCCGGGCAGGCCAAAGCTTCTGTTGTTTTACTTTGTGTTCGAAGAGGAGTTAGCTGGGTGAAGGGGAATTTCTAGTTCTCAGCCTGCTATGCTGGCTTGCAAATGGAGTGGTGATTAGTCACTCTCCTTATGGAGTTGTTTTTTTCTAATGCATTAAAGCTATGATGTTACCTTCCAACAAGTGGCCAGATTTGAAATAAAATTCCATTTGCTCTCAATCCCCTTTGATAGAATACTTTCAAAGTATTATCTGTCATATTGTAGGTAACCAGTCTTTGAAATTTATGACTTATACATTGTGATGTGTTGTTTTTTATCTTATCCTGAGTATTTTGGTTTTTGAAATAGACTTAATTGAAGTGAAGTTAGTGGGAATACTGGATATTTTGGATGAAGAAAATCGCCTTCCCCAGCCCAGTGACCAGCACTTCACATCTGCTGTTCACCAGAAGCACAAGGACCATTTCCGACTCACTGTGAGTTTGCCATTTAATGTGCTGACTGTGCTTGGGGGGAGGGGGGGCGGGGAGATCTGTGGTCAGATTCACTACACAGTGGACATTGCTGGACAGAAATATAAGTCATAGAAGGTTTAGAGCGGCAATGGCTCAGCATCCTCTACAGATAGACTCTATCAATCTGCTCTATCTATTATGTATCTGTCATCTGTAACTATTATTTACCTTTCAATTACCTATCATCTATCAATCTATTACCTATCATATCTATGTCTATCAAATACCTATCTTGTATATATATTTATCATGTAATCTATCCATCTATTACATATCTACCATATCTATCTACCTTTCTATATGAATCTGTTTATTATATGTATCTATCATCTATCTGTCCTATATATATATATTTATCATGTACTCTACTATCTATGTTTTTCTATCATCTATTCATCATTGAGCTATCATCTCTCTCTCTACATATATGTATCATCTGTTTCTTATCTATTCATATATCAATTATCTGTCTATCTGTGTTTGTGTTTTTATCTATGTATGTATCTGTAATGGTAAAGCTCTATATAATCAAATCTCAAGACTCTTTTTCTCTGAATGGAAAGAATTTTGTCTGTCTAAGGTATACAAAGAAATTTACCTATTGGTCTCATGTTCTTCCTTCTGAACTAAGTGGCCTTTGGTGGCTTTGTTTTGTATCACATGACCTAGGCAATGTTCTAGGGGATGACATTCATGTGTGTAGCTTAGAACTCTGGTGGAAGAGGGGCTGGGAAGGTAGCTCAGTGGTAGAGTGCTTCCCTTGCATGCCTGAGGCCCTGGGTTCGATTCCTCAGCACCACATAAACAGAAAGAAAAAAGCCGGAAGTGGTGCTGTGGCTCAAGTGGTAGAGCGCTAGCCTTGAGCTGAAGAGTTGAGGGACAGCACCCAGGCCCAGAGTTCAGGACCCACGACTGGACTCCCCCCCCCAAAAAAAAAAAACTCTGGTGGAAGAAACCTGGATTAGGTGGTGATGGCCAATTCATTTTGGTCTCCTTCCTGGGAGTTTTGAGTGGGAAATGTACTCAGAGAGGGAGATAGAAGCTGAAGCAACAGGACTAGGTAGTATAAAGGGAAAATAGACATAGACAGTGGTAGAAATAAGTAAGACCACACTTCTGGAAAAGCCAAAGACTAGGTTCCCAAGCCCGCTTCAAGCTGAAGTGCTTGCTGTGTTTGTATAAGGTTTTGTTGGTATCCCCTCTCAGCTGTCATTCCCTGGGACTTTATTCTTACACCCAGAAAGAGCCAGGCAGGCACTGAGCGATGAGGATGCCAGTTCCTGCCACAGAGGTCAGCGCTGCTCTGCCTTCCCCGCCTTCCTCCTTCAGTCACCCCGTGAAAAGAGGGGAAAAGACGATAAAAGCTGCGTAGGGTCACTTTTGGAATTAGGGTGTTAGCAGGCAAACGTCTCCCCTTCTGGGAATTATTCTGAGATTGCAGCATAGCTGTCATTGCTCTGATGACCTCAGGAGGTATTTAAATGGTAACAAGTATTTTTATTTCCTTTCATGATTGACACCATCCCAGTATATACACAAATCAACCATTGTGCTTGCTACTCATTACTATGTGTTTAAAAAATAGAAAGCCCAAAAGAAAAATGTTATAAAAACCACACACTACAAACAAACCAAAAACCGAACACCTTGATGATGCCCATGTATTAAGTCAGTGGTAAATAGGCTAAGTAGGTTTACTTGAAAAACAGATGTGATTGCATGAACTCCTCTGTGATCTGGAATCCTAGACTAGCCGCCTGCTCAGCTGACTTGTCCTTCTTCTGTGTCCTCGTTATTTCACATAATACTCAACCTGTGACAGTGTTACCTTGGTGGAGATGGAGACACTGTGTGTTCTCCACAAAGCTTGTACTCAACGCTGAAAATATCTGTGGAGCTCTCTGTGTTGACAACTCACAGGCTGGAGACCCAGTTTCCTTTTCCAAGTGGACCACGGGTCTAGTCCACAAAACTGGGCCCAGGACCTCAGAGACATGTCATATGGGGAAGGACCTGGCAACTTTTCTTCAAAGAGGAATCAGAACAAGATAGCACATAAATCCTCATTTATGTAGGCTGGTACTTGGTGTTCCTTTGGGACTACCAAGTAAAGAACTCTTAGCATAGGCACTCTTGGAGTGCTTTCACTTGAACATTTGCATTTAATCCTAGTAATTTCCACAAGCTATGGGAGAGGAGACAAATGGGGGAAGGGGAAGAGACCACCTGGAAGCCTAGAAGGAAGCTGAGGTTACAAGCAGGCAGGAGATCTCACACAGAGCCTCTATTCCAACTCGATGGAGAAGAGCTTCTGTGTTCTAAACATTCTCTCACCTTGAGCAAGCCTCTGCGCCTCCCAACTCATAGATCACTTGTGTGATCATACATGTGATCCCCCTCCTTAAAAAAAGAGGTGATAGTGCGGTGCCGATGGCTCACACCTGTAATCTTAGATACGTAGGAGGCTGAGATCTGAGGATCTGAGGATCCTGGGTTAAAGCCAGCCTGGGCAGGAAAGTCTGTGAGATTCCTATCTCTAAAACACCACCCAAAAGCCACAAGTGGAGTCATGGCTCAAGTGGTAAAGCACTATCTTTGAGCACAAAGATTTATGGATAGAGCGCAGGCCAAGAATTGAAGCCCCAGGGCTGGCGTGTGTGCGCGCGTGCGTGCACACACACACACACACACACACACACACACACTGATAGGCTGTTTTGAGGATCAGATATGATCTCATATGTGAAATATTTCAGAAACTTTAATTCAAACACGAGATCCCACAATTAAATGGTAAACCTCTAAAATGATGTAATTGCCTTGAAAGAGGTTCAGGATCATTGTCCAAGAACCTGTTCAGATGGTTGGTTTTGAAACTGTGGCCGAGTTCCTGTGCTGAGTTCAGGTATTTCCTTACCTGGCTGCACATGAAAATTCCTTAAAACAAGTGCCACATGCTTTGGGAGGCTTAAAATTCTCTGAAAAATTCTAATCAGCATGAGAATCTAACATCATGTTGTAGATGGAAAGTTTGTATGTTTTTGCATGTGAACCTGAATAACACGTGTGTACATGTATGTGTGTGCTTTTGTGTGTGTTGGCCTTAACACCTACTTTTTTCCCCTTAGAGATTACAACCAAATACTTTTTAGATTTCACTTATAGTTCAAGCATTGTTCAAAAGCAGTACAATTATAAAAAAAGTTTTGTTTTTTTTTTAGTCCGGTCGTGGGGCCTGAGCTCTGGGCCTGGGCGCTGTCCCTCAGCTCTTCAGCTCAAGGCTAGTGCTCTACCACTTGAGCCACAGCGCCACTTCTGGCTTTTTTCTTCTTGTTTATGTGGTGCTGAGGAATCGAACCCAGGGCCTCATGCATGCAAGGCAAGCACTCTACCACTGAGCCACCTTCCCAGCCCTATAAAAAAAGTTTGAAAATTCCCTTACATCTTATTCTCCATCTAATGTCCAAAGGAAAGTTTGTAACACCTTCATGTATTATTTTCCAGATTCCAAGGAAATCTAAGCTGGCAGTCCATAGGAATCTCAGAGATGATGAAGGTTTTATTATCCGGCATTTTGCAGGGGCGGTGTGCTATGAAACAGTGAGTATGATTTATAAGCAGAAAACCTCTTAATGTTGGAGCTGTGCGGTAGTGTGGTATTCCCCCCACCGACTTGGAATGGCAACGTAAATCTTCACATCAGTGAAATGAAGTGAGTAGTTCTGCCCCAAGCTGCACCAGCCATGCTTGGTGCTAACCATCCACCATTACCCCATGGTGACTGTGTTGGACAGCTGGGATGTGATCACTGAAAGTTCTGTCAGGCAGAGCTGAGGTTCGGGGGATTTACCTCAGCTAGGCTGAACTGTTCTTCTTGCTTTAACTTGCAGACTCAGTTTGTGGAGAAAAATAACGATGCATTGCATATGTCTCTGGAATCCTTAATATGTGAATCCAGGGATAAGTTTATACGGGAATTATTTGAATCGTCTACAAATAACAACAAAGATACGAAACAGAAAGCCGGAAAACTTAGCTTCATCAGTGTGGGAAACAAATTTAAGGTATTCATATTAAATAAGTCTTTTTTAAACAATTGTATTTAAAATAACATACATTGTTCTCTATTCTAAAGTGGATAATGTAAATGACAGTCAGATATGCTGCATGTGCCAGGAGAAGACCGGCACTGTTTATACCTGTACTGTAAGAGGGCCTGATGAAGCCCCCGCCACTGAATACAGAAATGTTGGGATCCTGTCCTTTTTCAGGGCGTCACACACCTGAGAGCTCTCCTAATGTCCCTGCTGCCGTCTACTGCGTGGCTGACCTTCAAACCTTCTCTTCTCCTTGTGTTTTCTGTCTCCTTCCTTCAGCAGTTTTGGTTTAGCTGGAATAGTCCAGCTCCGAATGGCTAGAGAGAACTAGTTGAGAGGACAATCAGGCCCAGCCCGGCCTCCAGGTAACGATCGCCTTGGGACTGCCATCCATCCAGTGGCTGGGCGTGTTAAGGAGAGTTCCTTGCAAGTGGTCAGCCAGTGTGTAACTCATTTCCATGTGTTTTTCTCTCACAGTGGTGTTAGGAGCATGCACACGACACTAAAATTGAATGAAAGCTTTTGATAATGTCCATCACAGATAAAGGCTCAGGTGTAGCAAACTTGTTAAAGTGCTTATTTAACATTAAAGAATATTTCATCCCTTTTGTTAGTTTTTGATCAGGAATTCTTGGAAAGCTGAGAAGAGGTTGTCTTAGAAATAGAATGCTATTAATTAGTTACAATTATTGAGCAGTTAGTACAAAACAACTTTAAAACCTTTTAATTAAAAAAAATCTTTTAGTGAACAAAGCTCTATAATATATCCAGTGAAGAAATGGGGATGTAGAAATGTGAGTTAAGTGGTAGAATATCAGTTTTGATGGAAAAGTCAAGCAAAGCCCTGAGTTCAAGCCCAAGTACTGGTACACAAACAAAGTAGTGATTTGTAAGTGCTTAAAAAGAATCATAGAAGTGAAATTAATTTTTCTATGTTACATAAAATATTGCTCTGATATTTACAAAAAGTCCATATTTGCTCTATAAAACATGTACTTTAAATATTAAATATGATACAATCAGGAATGATAATTAATATCAGAATTCTATTAGATAATTAGTAGTATAAAACTTCTTTTAGATTGAATGGGCCCCAAATATGCAGTTTGATGAAATCATATTTCTAAAAGCTAAGGCTTTTAAATACTTAAATATAGCAAAAGCTCATAATACATTTTAGATGAATAAATAAAAAAGCTTTGAATTTTGTCTTAAAATTGTATTCATTAATTAGGAGTTCCTAATGCACTTAATAAGCAACAATTTGAATATTTTTCTATTCTTGAATAGACTTTTTAAAAAATGTGTTCTGTTTTGTTTTTGTGCCAGCTTAGCCTTTTGCTCAGAGCTAGTGCTCTACTACTTGAGCCACAGCTCCACTTCTGGCTTTTTGGTGGTTAATTGGAGATAATAGTCGCATGGACTTGCTTGCATGGGCTAGCTTTGAACTTCAGTCCTCCGATCTCAGCCTCCTGAGTAGCTAGGATTATAGGCATAAGCCACCGGTGCCTGGATAATAGATGGGCTTTAAAATAGTGAAACTGGTGTATATGCAGTGGTGCAACCTGTAGTCTCATGTTATTTGGGAAATGGAGACAGGAAGATCCGTTGCGGCAAAGAGTTGTCGACCTGGGCAGCATAGAAAGACTGTCTCAAAAGAAAAATGCATTTGCTTCATTGAAATGGATATCATTTGTTATGTATATTCCTGCAGTAATAATATAGTATTATTACTAGTAAGAACATACTGAAATTTTAGGTAACATGAATAAAAATGAAGACATTCTCAAAGTTTCTCTTTGATTTGTATAATCTTCATTGAACCTAGAAATGTCTTAGAACTGTTTCCAGACAGCATCATGTAAGCTGGGCACCTCAAAGGCTGAGATCTGAGGATGGAAGCCAGCCTGGACAGAAAAGTTCATAAGGTTCTTATTTCCAGTTAACCAGGAAAAAGCCAGAAGTGGGGTGTGGTTCAAGTGGTAGAACACCAGTCTCCAGAGCTCGACGCCCTGGGTTCAAGCCCCAGTACATAAAGAAGCAAAGGAACAAACAATTATGTACTTTTTACATTAACTGCTGAAAGCTATAACTGAATATTACTAATAAAATATTTCCTATGTGTTTCTGTGGGATACTTTGATGTAAAATGTGAACCTTAATTTTAAACATAAATCAAGGAGTTCATATTTTTGTATGACACTCAGTTACCCGTCTCAGGGACCCAGGGCTCCCACTCAAAGGATCATTTCCAGGCTCCTGACACAACCCTCTTAACTGCTGATGCTTTCGAAGAAGGAATTCTTTTCTATGAAAATCTTACTCATATAAACAAATAGTTGTATGTTTCAAAACTAAAATAAAACATGAGTTGCTCAGTGCCTTACCTTTCTGCTTTATGATTCTTGACTTCTGTTCTTTGGAGATGGACTTTTCTCTTTTCTTTTTTTCCTACTGTTATTAGTTGAGTTTTGTTTTTTCTAGTCTTCTGACTCCATCTCAATGTTTTGGGGGGGGAGGGAGGCAATATCAAGATTAGTCTGTGGATGAAGGCACCTAGATGAAGGGCAAGTTATTTTCTTTCTGCCTTGGTGGCTCTCCTACTTGCTTTTCTGCTGGAGTCCAGGTTGATTAAAGTTGTTAGAACTCTACCCACCAGATAAATGGGGATAATTGGATCTCTTTAATCCAACCTCAAATTCTTCTGAATAACTTAAGCTTGTAATATGGAGTCATACATTACTGTCATAGATAGGAAAATGTAAAATTTTGCTATGACTGTCCATGACTGGACACATTTTTAATCTCCCTGGATCTCAGTGTCTTCCCTGTATAACGAAGGCAATAATATATTCTTAAGCACAGCGATGCTCTTGAAACTTTTTGAGCAGTACTTACTCACAGAAAAACATCATGTAAAAGCACACATGTTATTATAAATTGTACCTATGATTAATATATTAATTTGAGAATTATATCTTAGTGGCTGACACCTATAATCCCAACTATTGGGAAAATCTCTACTCAAGGAAAGCTCACGTAAAAAGCTAGCACAACCTATCTCAACAAAGTAAAATAAAATAGCTTCTTGAAATGCACAGGTAGGATGATTCTGGTTCCAAGTGGATCACTGGGGCAGAGGATGTAAGATCTCATCTAAAAAGAAATAATGAAAGCAAAGTGAGGCTGAGAACCTGCCTAATAAGTGGGTGGCTGTGAGTGTAATACCCTGGTACTATTAAAAAAAATAAAAAACAAGGGGGAAAACCCCTCTTAATTGGTCTTTTCTAAATTGTATAATAAGTATCTCCGTATAAAAAACCAGATAAAGATTTTTACACAGTTTATTTTGCAGAGCAGTAAATCAAATAAATGATAATGTCCTGAACCAGGATTAATAATAATTATTAATATTAAAAATGTAGGAAAGTAGTAATAGTATTCATTGTTGTCACATAATATTCACTGCCAACTTTATTTTAGAAAACAAAAAGTTTTAGAAAGCAATTGAAATTTTAAAATAGTGAAGAACATTCTTATAGGTTAACCAAAGAATTTTATGTATGCTGTATTACATATACACCAACCCCAGTCTTTAGTTTACACCTCGCTTGCATGTGTTCAAACACAACCTCACTGATCTCACAGTGAACGCATCCCTATCCTCTCATTTACTTCCTTCATTGTCTGCAGTCATTCTCCTTATTCATCTTCCCTGCAGACATGCATGTGTGTTAGCATTACTCCTTGCCATTCTTTCTGATGACACAAGTTCTGCTGTTTTAATTCCATATATGCCCTTGGCTGCATGGTGCTCTCTGCCAGTCTGTGCCCTGGAGGTGGTCGCACTGTGATGTGTTGTGTGTGAATGTCATCTGTGCATGTAATGGAGAGTGAGTGTGAACTCACCCTACTACACGTGCTTTCACTCTCAAATGAGCTGCTCTCCTATCTTTTACAGACACAGTTAAATTTGCTTCTGGATAAACTTCGAAGTACCGTGAGTATATTTAAAAACAAAATGTCTGTTTTTGAAGATCCTATAAAACCACTACTAGCAATTAGACCAAGAATCCTGGAATGATGAGAAGTATATTTTAAATCAATTTCCTCTTATTAAAAAGAAATTATTTTTTTAAAAGCTGGGTGGAGTATATCATGCCACTAATCTCAGCTCTTGGGAAGCATAAATGGGAGGATTGAAGTTTTAAATCAATCTGGACAAAAAAAGTTAGTGAGACTTTATCTCAACAAATGAGCTGGTTATGGTGGCATGCACATGTAATGCCAGGTATGTGGCAGGTGTAGGTAGAAGACTGAAGACTGAAATTTGAAGTCTAGCCCCTGGTAAAAATGAGAGATCAAGCCTGGTGCCCTGTAATCTTAGCCACTTTAGAGGCTGAGTTCTGAGGATCATGGTTTGAAACCAACTTGGGCAGGAAAGCCTATAAGACTTTTATCTCTGATAATCACTAAAACACAAAATGGAATTGTGACTTAAGTGACAGAGCACTAGCCTTCCGCAGAAAAATGCTAAGAGACATCACTGAATCCTTGAGTTTAAGCCCCAGGATGAGAGAGAGGGGGGGGAGGGAGAGAGAGAGGGAGAGAGAGAGAGAGGGAGGGAGGAGAGAGGGAGAAGGAAAGGGAGAGGGAGGAGGAGGGAGAGGGAGAGGGAGAGGGAGGGGGAGGCGGAAAAAGAGAGAGAGAGAGACTACTTGAAAAATAACGAGCAAAAAGGGACACTCATGTGTAGCTCAAGTGGTAGAGCACTTGCCTAGCAAGTATGAGGCCCTAATTTCTAAACTCTAGTACTGCTAAAAAGAAAGAAAAGAAATTAGTTTCTAAAATGGTTATTGTTTTGGCTAAGTTTGTTCTGGAGAAATGTCAAATATATATGTGAAGTCAAATTATTGTATAAACACATGGCACTGTTGAGCTTATTAAAATGATCTTGTACTTCACAAAGGTAGAAAGAATGAATAACTGATGAAAGAGGCTATTACTTTTTTAAGATCAAGTATAGGATATAATTTAACTTGATTGTGTTATTCTTGCAGTTTTGATGTGGACAAAAATACACCCAATAGTTTTATGTCTTTTTATAAAAGCAAAATTTATTAAGGGCTTATATTTAACTATGCGTTTTAGTGGTTCACCCTGAGATTTTTTTTTCTTTTCCTTTCTTTTCCCCATGTAGTGATGGGCATTGAACCTACAAGCACTCTGATTACTGAACTATATCCCCAGCCCTTGTTTATTTGTGAGACAGTCTCACATATGTAGTTTAGGTTTTAACCAATAGAAGTACGATAATACATTTTTATGTTCCTTGGTGATTTTCATGTGCTAATATTTAATATGCACCGAAGGTTACTGTTATTTCTAGAAACAAAAAGTGACCATGTTATCTTACGTGTTATCTCAAAAAACTGCCTTTCTTCCCCCAGGGAGCGAGCTTTATTCGCTGCATCAAGCCTAATTTAAAGATGACAAGCCACCACTTCGAAGGGGCTCAGATTCTGTCTCAACTTCAGTGTTCAGGTAGTTCCCTGTTTCCCAAATCTTTGTCACAGTGTGTGTCCGTAGCTATAACTCAAGGGCTACTTACTGATTTACTTCTGTGCTGTTGGGGATTGAGTCCAGGATGCCAGACATGCCAGGTCTACCCCAGTCCTTCAGCAGACTTTATTGGGGTCAGTATATACACATGTACATGATTCTATACATAATTTCAAATAATTTATCATTACCTTGATCACTTGAAGTACAATGAAATTAAAAAAAATATTCCCCTTAGCTATAAGAAAAACATAGATGGCAAATTATTTGAGCAATAGTGTGAAACAATTTATTGTGAAATAAAACTTCTTGTTTTTGTCAGTTGTGGGGCTTGAACTCAGGGCCTGAGTGCTGTCCCTGAACTCTTGCGCTGAAGGCTAGCACTCTACCATTGTTGAGCCATAGCACCTCTCTGGTTTTCTGGTGGTTAATTGGAGATAAGAGTCTCATGGAAAAGTCTCATGGACTTTCCTGCCCGGGCTTTTTTTTTTGTTTACTTTTTGTCATTTGTGGGGCTTGAACTCTGGGCCTGGGCACTGTCCCTCAGCTCTTTAGTGCAAGGCAAGCGCTCTACCACTTGAGTCCCAGTACCATTTCTGGTTTTCTGGTGGTTAATTGGAGATGAGTTTCATGGATTTTCCTGCCTGCCGCTAGCTTTGAACCACAATCCTTGGATCTCAATCACCTGAGTAGCGTGGATTGCAGGTATGAGCTACCAGAACCTGTCTAAATAAAACTTTTAAAACACTGAAGCTAAGTTTACAAGCCCACTCATCCCTTTTGGTATCTGATTGAATTCAGGACTTTACACTTGCTAAGCAGATGCTCTACCACTTGAGCCACACCTCCAGCCCCTTTTTGAATTGGGTGTTTTCCAGGTAGGGTCTGACTTTGTGCCTGGGCTAGCCTGGACTCAGATCCTCCCATTTGTGCTTCCCCGACCCCATTGACTGCGATGGAGTTTCAGGAATTTCTTTTGCTCAAGCTGACCTTGAACTTCTGCCCCTTGATCATTGCCTGCTAGGATTACAAGCTTGAGCCACCATGTCTGGTATTACCCCCCCCCCCCTTAAAATTTATATAATTAAAAATCATTAGGTACTTTTATAAAAGGACTTCAATTCAACATGCCAGTGTATGAGTATAATGCATCTTGATCAATGTCTCCCTTCCATCGTTCTTCCACCATCCCTTCCAATCCCACCCATCCCTTCATTACCATATTCCTATATCCTTCATCACCACACATGTACATTGAATATTATGACTGTATTCTCCCACCCTCTCTCCATTTGTCTGCCCTTCCTCCCCTTGACCTCTGCCCCTCCTAACAATACATTTTGGGAAGTAGAGGTGTGTCTCACATGGTAGAGGACCAGCCTTGAGCAGAAAAACGGAAACAAAGTTCTTTAAGAGTCTCCCCTACATCTGCTCTGCCTCCCTGTGGACTCAACAGCCCCAGGTCATTCCTGGCTCCCTTACAACCAGCCAGGAGGGCGTGGCCTCACTCCTCCTCCTGTGAGAACTGTAGTCCTTGGATTTCCCAGTTCTCGACTTCCACTCCCTTTCTCCTCAGGAGGATCAGCTTCCTCTAGTTAAGGTGCAGTGGTCACTTGGCTCCTAAGTCAGATGTGGCCGCCATGGCCAATCCCTCCAGCCCAGCTTCCCCCTTCCCTGCCCCCACACCAACCATACCGTTTCTCTTGTGCATTACTGGCCTTCTCAATCCTTCTGCAGATGTGTTTCCTTCCACCTGGGTGCTATTTTTAGGGAATTTTTGAGTTTAGAATGGACTGGTTTTTGTCATTCTCTATCAGTTGTGGCGTGTGAAACTTTCCAGGATGATTGAAGTACTTAGTGTCTGTGTTATTCAATATGGCAGGCACTAGGTGGACACATTTGACTTGCATGCATTTGAAATGTGACTACAAGCCTTATTTAAAACTGAAATAAACTTTAAAAATAATTTAATTTTAATCTATTAAAATTTAAATAGTCATCTGTGAATAGGCATTGCTATATTCCCTTGGCTGCACTTGACATTTATTCTTTATTCAAGTATTGATTCTGTGTGTGTGTGTGCTAGTACTGGGGCTTGAACTTGTGGCCTCACGCTCAAAGTGGTAGAGTGCAGCCTTGAGCAGAAGCCTGGGGGGGGGGTTACCCAGGCCCCGAGTTCAAGCCCTGTGACCAAAAAACAACAACATCAAAGGTTCTTACAGACTTTCCTGCCCAGGCTGGCTTCTGGGTATATATACAGTTATAGTTTCATGAAAAAAAATGGCTAGTCACCTGTTCCAACATTTTTTATTAACTAATCTTTTCTGGATTGATTTCAGCAGTCTCAGCTTCAACACCTGAAAGCCAAGTGTTGTAAAGGAAAGTCTTGGTGTTGCCTTTAGCTGTTGTCTTTCCCAACCAATTTCACCCTTTTCTTGAAAAGTTTACATTAATAAGGCTGAAATTAAGCACCTAGTAGACTTGAACTGATAATACAATTATCCTATAGGTTTCCCAATTGGTTAGTTTTATTTCATAGGTAAATAAAAGGTTTTTATAGTGAGCTCTCTAGTCTTTTCCTTATGCTTTATTTGATCCCTTGGGAAAACTTGTGTTTGTTTGAATATTTTAGGGAAGACTATCAGGAACACTGTTCTAAAATTAGCTGCAGCACTTAGAAAATGGCCATGTGTAGGGCTTTGCTTTATATATTGTTATCTATGATAGAGATTCTAAAACAATGCAAACTAGACTCAAGCGTTCTAGAGAGCAGTAGTTTGCCTCTAAGAAACGTTCAAGCTGGCTGTAGATGGCCTTGCACTGGAGAAGTTGCAGGTCGTGGATCAGTTGGGGTATGTTGACTAGAACAATGTCATTTCTCACTGGTGGTAATGGGCCTGATGCGTGTTTCTGAATCTAGGTATGGTGTCTGTTTTGGACTTGATGCAAGGTGGTTTCCCATCTCGAGCTTCATTTCATGAACTCTACAACATGTACAAAAAGTATATGCCGGATAAACTTGCAAGATTGGATCCAAGGCTATTTTGTAAGGTACAACTGCCACTAAAATGGAAATTTCTGAACAATGAATTATTTCCTATTACTAATTGGAATTTCTATTTTTCAGGCTCTTTTTAAAGCTTTAGGTTTAAATGAAGTTGACTATAAGTTTGGATTAACAAAAGTATTTTTCAGACCTGGAAAAGTAAGTCTATTTTTATTTTAAACATTAATATCATGAATCTGTTAGGGGTTAGTAGATTTTTATTTTTAAAAATTTTTATTTTTATATTTATTTGTTTGTTTATTTGGTCATGGAGCTTGAACTCAGGGCCTGGGCACTGTCCCTGAGCTTTTTCACTTAGGCTAGTGCTTTACCACTTTGAGCCACAGTGCCACTTCCAGTTTTCTGGTGGTAAACTGGAGATAGAGTCTCACAGACTTTCCTGCCCCAGCTGGCTTTGAACTGAAATCCTCAGATCTTAGCCTCCTGAGTAGCTAGGATGACAGGCGGAGCTACCAGCACTCGGCATTAGTAGATAGGTAATAATTTAGGTAATAATGGTTTAATGGTTTATATTGTTATTAGGATTGTATGGTATCAACAGCATGAAATATATGTGTACACATGCATACATAATTTTCCCATTTTTTCAGTTTTACTTAGTGTTAGAATCAGAACATTGAATTTTTTTCTTAAATAGAGGTTACTATTTAAACAAGCTGAAAGTTTTTCTAAAATGTCTTCATGCAGTCTTCAATGATTTGAGATTTTATAGTACTTAGAGTTTCCATTGTTAAGGAAAAGGTATATTAAATAGATGTTATACCTGTACTTAATAGTGTTAAGAGATTGGACTAGAGTTTGGACTCTCCGCTCCTAAAACCTAGACAGAATGAATAGCAAATCCTTTCATGTGTAACTATGGAAATATAATCCTATAGTTTTGATATTCATAGATTGTAGAATACTTTATAAGTAATATATTCAGAACAGAAATACCTAACTCCCATTCTCACTATTTCTGAATTCTTCAATATTGATTTAGTAATTGCATCCTCTGATTGTAAACATAATTGTTATTGAATTTAAATAGCCAAGCAACTAGTTAGATTAAATAAAACCTTAAGAACTAGCTCTTTTATCTAGTTAATCACAAATCTGATTTCACTTTTTTTTGTTGTTGTTGGTTGTGGAGCTTGAACTCTGGGTTTGGACACTGTCCCTCAGCTCTTCAGCTGAAGGCTAGAGCTCTACCGCTTGAGCCACAGCGCCACTTCTGGTTTTCTAGTGGTTCATTGGAGATAAGAGTCTCATGGAGCCGGGCGCTGGTGGCTCACGCCTGTAATCCTAGCTACTCAGGAGGCTGAGATCTGAGGTTTGCGGTTCAAAGCTAGCCCGGGCAGGAGAGACCATGAGACTCCTATCTCCAATAAGCCACTAGAAAACCGGAAGTGGCACTGTAGCTCAAGTGGTAGAGCGCTCGCCTTGAGCTGAAGAGCTGAGGGACAGCGCCCAGGCCCAGAGTTCAAGCCCCACGGCCAACCAAAAAAAAAAACAAAAACAAAAACAAAAAAAAAGAGTCTCATGGACTTTTCTGCCCGGGCTGGCTTTGAACCGTGATCCTCAGATCTCAGCTTCCTGAGTAGCTAGGATTACAGGCATGGGCCACTGACAGCCAGCTTGATTTCACATTTTTAAGCATGAGACGAATGTTAAATATTGGTTACCAATGAGTGTTCTTTCCTGTGAGTACTTTTTATCATAGGGGATCCATACCACTTCCTACAAAAAAAAATTAAGAGAAAAAGAACATAAATCTCTTGAGTCACTTTAGTTTCACTCAGACACATATCATAAACTCAGTGTTTTTCTTACTTGAGAGAAGTAGCAATTACTTAATAGTTAATGGCTGGATTGGGAAAGTACATGGTCTTACCTCCCCCCAAATCAGAAAGATTTCTTCACCACCTAGAACAAATAGACTCTCAAATCTGTAATCTCATTATGTTACCTTTAATCTAATTTTGATTATAAAAAGTCATTATATTGATTAGTGTGATATTCTGGTAAGACATTTCACTCTAATTATTAATAACTAAAGGTCTATTTTATTTGTGTTGTCTTTAATCTCCTAGCAGTATTTCCTTATCTTTCTTTAAAATGTGGGTGGTAAGGAAGTGGTGCTGTGGCTCAAGTGGTAGAGTGCTAGCCTTGAGCTGAAGAGCTGAGGAACAGTGCCCAGGCCCAGAGTTCAAACCCCATGGCTGACAAAAAAAAAAGGTTAAAATGGGGTGGTGATTGGGAGAAACAGAATAATCTCAATAGTGAAATAAATAAAACAGGACCTTCACTAGTCCAGGGCTAAGGAATCTGCTAGGGCAGAGATATTTCTGTCCCTTTCTATCATCTTTCTCAATAAAAATCTTTTTTGCTAGTCCTCTCTAATTAACCTAGTTAAGATTTTTTTCAACTTTTATGATTGAATCTGCTACCTAGTAATCAGTGACCTTCTTTACTCCTCAAAAACGACTCTGAAGGAAAGAGGGAAGAGAAAGGCCATATTTCAGTGCAGCCACTGCTTGGAGCTCGCATTACACCATGCTAAGCTGTGGCTGTGATTGGCATGCAACCATTTTTAGAAAGCCAAATTTGGGCCAAGCACTGGCCCATACCAGTGGCTGATGCCTATAATCCTGGCTACTGAGGAGGCTCAGATATGAGGATAGTGGTTTGAAGCCAGCACAGGCAGGAAAGTCTGTGAAACTTTTATCTCCAATTAACCACCAAAAAGTTGGAAGTGAAGCTGTGGCTTAAACGGTAGTGTATCAGTCTTGAGTGAAAAAGCTAAGGGGCAGAGCCCAGGCCCCATGTTCAAGCCCATGTAGTGGCATGCGCACACACACACACGTGCATGCACATACACAGAGGTAACATTTGGGATTTAAATTCTATTTTTTTCTTTGTGTGTTGGAACATACTGCTCTCTAATACTGGTACTAAGTTATTTTATCTTCTAGTTTGCAGAATTTGATCAGATTATGAAGTCTGATCCTGACCATTTAGCAGAGCTGGTTAAGAGAGTCAACCATTGGTTAGTCTGCAGTCGCTGGAAGAAAGTTCAATGGTGTTCACTCTCAGTCATTAAACGTAAGTATGTTTTTACCAGGCATGGTGGCATGTACCTGAAACCCAGTCATATGGTAGAGATGAGAGTTTAAACAGCCAGCCTGAGCTACAGAGCCAGGTTAATCAGACCCTGTCTGAAAAAGCAATCAGTAGTTACAGAAACAAACCTCACAAAGCATAGCCTGTACCGAGGAGTCTGAGGCAAGGAGGGTCACAAGTTTGAGACCATTGTAGGCTCACAGGTGGACCTGGACTCAAAGCAAGATAAGACAAACACCATTTCTCCTTCCTTTTGGAAAATACCCAACCATGTTTCATTCTGGACCTAGATTTTGTTCCTTTGGAGGTGGATGGAGTGTGGAATGTTCCAAGGTCATCTCAAGGTGGACGCTAGGTGACGGACATGATTTCCTTCATGCTGTGTGCCTGGGGCCTTGTGTGGAGCATGTGCTAAACCAGTGCTTGTACCCTTCCTTCCTGCTTTTAGATCTGAGTGACACGTGTTTCCTTATGTTACAGCAGTGTGATTTCATTGTGCCCTCTCCAATACAGAATTCACTCTCTTGATTAGTTCTCTCTCTCTCTCTCCCTCTCTCTTATTCCCCATGACCCCCAAAGCTACCCCCACAATTTCAGATTTAAATCAGCACTCTCCTCTGTCTGCATTGCATCTACAATAGATATCTTGAAATTCCAAGATGATAATAGTCTAAGCATTCTTCTATGCACTGGACCAAGCTGCGTTTGTAGGTGTTTCTGCAACTTCTTATCTCTGACCCAACGCAAGAATCAGGGTAGAATATTTTCAGGTTACTTGCAGGGGTGTGGCAAACCTTTAGTTGTTGGGAACTGTTTAATTACATTTATACCTGTGTTCCCCTTCTTTTTTTTTGTTTGCCGGTTGTGGGGCCTGAACTCCGGGCCTGAGTGCTGTCCCTGAGCTCTTCAGCTCAAGGCTAGCACTCTACCACTTGAGCCACAGTGCCACTTCCAGCTTTTTCTGCTTATGTGGTGCTGAGGAATTGAACTCAGGGCCTCATGCATGCAAGGCAAGCGCTCTACCACTGAGCCACCTTCCCAGCCCCTGTGTCCCCTTCTTACCAGACTGCCTGAAATAATGCTGGATACATGATAAGGATTCAATAAATCATTTCTTCATAATAGAGAAATTAAAATTTCCCTTGGCAATAGAAGAAGCATGTAATCAAAGATGATCTTGAGATGTTTTGTTGCATGCTTGTAACTATGGATAAAAGGAAATCTGCAGTAAAGGAAACAGATAATCTCTTTCCAAGTAAAATATAAACAGATTTGTCACGGGAGTTCAGTGCAGTTAGCTTTTACATGTTGCATTTTGATGGGTGACAAATGGTATTAAAATATGTGTGCTGTTCCAGCTATTCGGCACTCTGTGGTCAGCGAGCAGACAGGGATCTTTGCAGAATGTTAATAGGAAGTGCTAGAAATATCTTTCAAGGTCAGGTTGTCCTAGAAAATTGGTTGGGTGCCTGAAGTTAAAAAAGATTCCTGCCTAATATGTTCATTGTGGTTTCTCATAAAAAAGAAATTCTTCTCTTTCTTTTTTTAAAAAGATAAACTTATTTACATTTCATTGAACAAAAGTGGTCCTGGACAGTTTGGGAAATAGTTGTGTCTAATCATAAGGAAATAGGACAATTGAAAGAGTCTAGGCACATGTGTGATAGGCTTAGTTTTTCTTTTTTGTGCCAATCTGGGGACTTGAACTCAAGACCTGGGCATTATCCTTGAGCTTTTTTGCTTAAGGCTAGTGCTCTACTCTTTGAGCCACAGCTCCACTTACACCTTTTTGCTGGGCTAGCTTTGAATTGTGATTCTCCGGTCTCAGCATCCTGAGTAACAAGGATTATAAGCATGAGCCACCAACACACGGTATTATATACTTTTCATTTTTAAGAAGTATAGAAAGTTGCCAGGTGTTGCCTATAATTCTAGCTACTCAAGAGACTAAGGATAAAGGGTAGGGTGGAAGCCATCCCAGCAGAAAAGTCTGTGAGACTCTTATCTCCAGTTAACCAGCAGAAAGCTGGAAGTGGAGGTAGACCACCAAGCCTTGAGCGAGAGATCCAAATGAGAGTGACGGGGCCCTGAGTTCAAGCCCACACACACACACACACACACACACACGCACACACACACACATACACACACACACGCACACTCACATATATACTCACAATAATATAGGAAATTAATGTTTAGGTTCTTGATTTTAGTGTCTCTGATCTAATGTAACCAAAATTTCATGTTTCTAGAGAATTGCTTGGTGGGAATGCTTGGCTTTTTAAGAACACATGTTTAATTTAAACTGAACCTTTTCTATCATTTTCTTTTATCCTTATGCATAGTGAAAAACAAAATACAATACAGAGCAGAAGCTTGTATTAAGATGCAAAAGACTGTCCGAATGTGGCTCTGCAAAAGGAGACACAAACCTCGGTAAGATGCGCATTGTTGGAAGGTGAGCCAGTGAACCGTGCAGTTAAGGCCTAGTGAAAAGCAGCTTGTAGCCTACGTTCTCTGGAGGACGGTGTTTTAGTCTGTTACCTGTGTCAAATGAGCTCATTTATTCATCATTTGCCCCACTCTACAAAAGGGTTTGAAGTGGCTTGCCAACACAGAAGGGACAGACATAGATGTTCGAGAGAAACTCCGTTATTTTAATTATCGTGGTGGTTTGAGTTCCCTGATAATGTCAAGTTGACTTTGTTTTTTAAAAAAAAAACTCATTCACATTTTGACTGTATTTTGCAAGATTATTTGTAAAATGATTTTGTTTCACTTGGTTGCAGTTTTATTGTGAATTTAGTTTTTATTACTTATTTAATCAGTATTACTATAATATACTTTATATATTATAAATTATATTATTATTGCTTAGTATTAGTTTAATTTTTTTATACTTGGAGGTCTGAATTAACTACTGAATTACCACCTTTTCTTTTCTTTTTTTCTTTTTTTTTTGGGGTCCGGTCATGGGGCCTGAACTCTGGGCCTGGGCGCTGTCCCTCAGCTCTTCAGCTCAAGGCTAGCGCTCTACCACTTGAGCCACAGCGCCACTTCTGGCTTTTTTCTTTTTGCTTATGCGGTGCTGAAGAATCGAACCCAGGGCCTCATGCATGCAAGGCAAGCGCTCTACCACTGAGCCACCTTCCCAGCCCCAATTACCACCTTTTCAAAGAGATAATTAAGCCAGGCATTGTGGCTCATACCTATAATACTAGCTACTCAGAATGCTGAGATGATTGTGGTTCAAAGCCAGCCTGTGAAGGAAAGTCTGTGAGACTCTGATCTCCAGTTAACCACCCAAAAAGGTCAGAAGTAGGGGTGTGGTAGAGCCACCAGTACCTATGCCCTGAGTTTGAGTCCCAGTACTGGCACACATGCACGTAGAAAGGTGTAACTAGATAAGCTCTATGATTTGGAAACGGTTTCCAGGTGAGGAGAGCAGATGAAGTCTTTCACTCCTAGTGTTTTTTTTTCACCTTCATGTATGAAATCCAAACACAGAAAAATGTACGAGGTGAAGTGCCCCAGCCAGTATCATTAGTGTAGTGTTAGGTTTTACTATGAAAAGTCCGCGGGGTCATTAAATGGTAAAGTGCCATTTTTCCAGCATCGATGGCCTGGTGAAGGTGGGCACGCTGAAAAAACGGCTGGACAAGTTTAATGAAGTGGTCAGCGCACTGAAAGATGGGAAGCCGGAGGTGATCCGACAGATCAAGGATCTAGAAGTTTCCATCGATGCTTTGATGGCCAAAATTAAGGTAATTTTAACCTGATGACTCTGACTTTTTACTTAGCCTAGTATCTTTTGTGATTGTTATTGAAATGGTATAGAAAAATGTCCTCCTTTTTTTAAGTTATTAAAGAGGAGTCTCATTCTAGTATTTTCTCTTAATTTCATAGCAGAAAGATAAAAAAGTTATTTTTTGATTTTGGTGGTTGTTACGAAAAATATTTTCGTGTGTGTGTGTGTGTGTGTGTGTGTGCGCGTGCGCGTGTGCGCGTGCGTGCGTGCTGGAGCTTGAACTCAAGCCTTCAAGCTCTCACTTAGCTTTTTCTGCCCAAGGTGGTATTCTATCACTTGAGTCTTACCTGTACTTCTGTTTTTTTGGTGGCTAATTGAAGGTAAGAGTTGAATTTATCTGCCAGAACTGGCTTCAAACTGTGATCTTTTGATCTTAGCCTGAGTAGTGAGTTTTACAGGACTGAGCCACTAGCACTTGGCCTCATTTCTTACAACTAAAATGCTGTATTTGGTTGGTAAGTTTTTACATAATCAAGACTCAGCAGAATAACTGTTTTGTTTGATGCTTTTCTACTTTCAGAAGCCAACTTTTTTTTTACTCGTTTTTCTTTTTGCTGAGTAGGCTACACAAGAGTTCTCCCACCAAGCTCTGGACACAGTCCCCCAGAAACAAACTATTGCATAATAAAAGTAATACAACATTAGTAAAAATTCATAGAACCCCCAATCACCTTATACCCACACCTTAACATATTCAACAAGTTTGTTGCATATTTTCCTATCTTCCTGAACATGTGCACCTTTTTACATAGTGCTTCATTTTACTTTGTAGTTCATTTTACATCGCTGCCATTATGTTACCCGCTTTGTTCATGCTAATTCCTCATCTTCACAGACACTGTAACATGATTTACTTAGCCAGTATAAAAATGGTAATTAATTTACACCTCAATTTTGTAGAAAAAATTTGGTTCACTTTCTTGATTTTTATTTATCAGTGGGATTATAACTTTTTTATTTATTTTTTACTGTAGGGATTATAATTTTTTACATGCTAGTTTGCTAAACAAATTTCCTCTTTTTCTTCCTATCATTGCCTCAATTATATTTTTGGATTTCACAGTTTTTCTCAACTAGTTTTTGGTCATATCTTTTGTAGATAGTTTATGTAGACAGTAGCAAATCTTAAGATATAGAAAGGGAATAAATAAAAGAAGATAAAAATGCTGCAGACAGATTTAGCTGATTTAAAAAAATCTCTCAAGTGCCATTCTTAATTATTAGGTATTATTATCAATTAAAATTAACCCCATCAGCCAGGTGCTGGTGGCTCATGCCTAAAATCCTAGGTACTCAGGAAGCCACGATCTGAGGATCATGGTTTGATGCCAGGTTGGCAGGAAAGTCCATGAGACTCTTATCTTCAAGTAACCAGCAAAAGGTTGGAATTGGAGCTGTGGCTTAAGTGGTAGAGGGCTAGCCTTGAGCAAAAAGACATATGAAGTAATTTTTTTGTGTGTGTGTGCTGGTCCTGGGGCTTGAACTTGGGGCCTGGGCACTGTTTTCTGAGCTTCTTTGGCTCAAGGATAGCACTCTACCACTTGAGCCATAGTTCTACTCCTGGCTTTTTTTGGTGTTTAATTGGAGATAAGAGTCTCATGGACTTTCCTTCCTGGGCTGGCTTGAACTGGGATCCTCAGATCTCAGCCTCCTGAGCTAGGATTACAGGTATGATGGCCATGAAGTAATTGCATAACTACTTCTTAGGAACAATTTGAATTGCTATCAAAGGGAATAAACTTTAGCTAATTGAGCTAATCATTCCTTAAAAAGTAATTTGTTTCTGGTGGTACTGGGGCATGGGGTACTGATTGTTTTGGGGATACCAGGGTTGATCTATGCTTCTAGCTCTGTTTTAGTTTTTTAATTTTTATTTTGGAGATGGAGTCTCATGGACTTTTCTGCCCTGGCTGGCTTTGAACTAAGTCACTAAGTGACTTCTATTTGAACAACTGAGCAGTCCGTTGTTACTGGGTCATTTCTGAGGTGATCTTTCTGTCGGTTCTACAAAGAAGCTACATGGAAAGTGGCACAGATCACCCTCTGTCTCAGCTTCCTGAGGAGCTGGGAGTGTAGGCATGAGCCAAGATTCTCCTGGAAAAAAATAGTTTTTAACTGCAACTTTGTTACATTACCCACAGTATGACTACAGATTTTGGTGTCTTCCTTGATAGAAAGTAAGAGTCAACTATTTCTGTTCAGAACATCTTAATAAAAATGTACAAATATTATTTAATCTACAAACAGTGAAGATAATGGGCTGTTACATGTCAGGTTTTTTTTTTACCAGTTTCTGCTATTTATGTGCATATTGGAATAATTTTTAAGAACCATGGCAAAAACCACATGAAATGAAACTTTGAATTGTAACTGCATTTCAGTGTACCCGTCAGCAGGATTGAGCGTGCTCACATTGTTGTGGGGAAGAAGTAGCTTTTCAAGTATGTTTCTGGCTTTGTTTGTACAGTCCACCATGATGACAAGGGAGCAAATACAGAAAGAGTACGACGCGCTGGTGAGATGCTCTGAGAATCTCCTCAGCGCACTGCAGAAAAAGAAGCAGCAAGAGGAGGAAGCAGAGAGGCTGAGGCGGATCCAGGAGGAGATGGAGAAGGAGAGGAAGAGGCGTGAGGAGGACGAGCATCGGCGGAGGAAGGAGGAGGAGGAAAGGCGGATGTAAGGCGCTTCTCATTTGCACTCTGACATTTCACTGCAGCGCAGGCTTGCTAATCACTATGCTTAAGACTGTCTTGATCTGAAAGAGCCCAGAGAGGCTGGCCATCCAGTCCAGGTCTTTCCTTTAGACCTCGAGAAGCAAGTGAATTGTCTAGTCATGTTAATGTAGCGGCAGAAGGGATCCAGAGCTCAGACCCAACTTCAAGCTCCAGGCCTCCGTGTGGCTTCATTAGTGTCTCAGCTTCAGGAGAAGGCAAGGAGGGCAATAAAAAAAAATCAGAGTGGAGAAGGGACATTCCATACAGGGGATGCTAGGACACAGATGACCTTCCATCCTGTGTGCACCCCACCCGATGTGCCCCCAATGTCACTTCATACCCTTATCCTGGAGCCCTCAAACTGAGGGCACAAGGATGAATGAGACAGCATCTCACTTGGAACTTCTTTAACATGAGAAGATGCAGAAACAACCCATGCACAGGAATAGTCATCATTAAGATAGAATTTCACACTTCACTGGGAGACATCACCTCCCAAATCCAGGCAGAATTCCTGCCTATTTGTCTGATAAAGGCACAGATGTCTGGAAGGGAAATGGAAAAATACCAGAGCACGGCTGCAGGCGGTTAGTAAATCCTCAGCTCTGTCCTCAGCGCAGGGAGAAGCAGGCAGCTGAGGGTTGAGAACAGCTTTCTGGAACTGCCCCGTATTTCCTGACCCCGGCCGACGGTGTGGGAAGTCACAAGGTTTTTATGAAGCTTTTTTCTTAGGCTGTCCACTTAAGACACCTACATCATAGAAGTGCATGTAGAAGCCAGAAAAATGTCAGCCTGTGCGTGTCCCTCGTAGACTTCCAGGCCACCCTGGGTTCATAGCGTCGTTCTCGATGTTGCATGAATTTCCCTTGGAGCCTTGCCAGACTTTCTTGTCTAATAATGTCTCCTGTCTATGGCTTCAGCCATACAACTTTGGAAGCCTGAACTTTGATGGCATCACAGTAGCCTCCAAAAGTCTGGAAGCATAGTGACCCCTGTTTGAACAACTGAGCAGTCAGGTGTTTCTGCGTCACTTCCTAGGCTGCCCTTTGGTCAGCTCCTACAAAGAAGTTAGATGGAAAGGAACAATTTAGCCCCGTGGGAGGGGCCTGCCCACCGGACACCTGGTCCCTCCCTCCAGAGGATGTTGAGGTCTCTCCAAGCCTCTTCCTCTCTGTTCTGATGTCACTGCCCTGTGTATTCCCCAGGGCACAGCTGCAGCATGTCCCCCTTCCCTTCCTGCAACAAGCCTGCCCCTGTGGCACATTACAGGTTCCTTCTGCTTCGTCCTCTTTCAGATTTCCTGTGGACCAAGTGAAGCTAGGAACTCTCGGGTTCTAGAAAGATGCATCTACAAAGATGCCCACGATAGTTCAGGAGTTCTGCAGTTTAGAACACCAGGAGAGTGAGCACACGGCCCTCGATGTGCCTTCCGGTCTCTGGAAATCGTTCAGTGATTTTCTAGTGTGGGCATCAAAACAGCTGTGTGGATGGGCTTCGGTCATCATAGTCTCAGTGTGTTCAAATCACTTCAATTCTCTAACCACATAATTGAGATTTGGGCTCCAGATTTGATGAGGCACCTAAAAATGTCTAAAGATGATTATAGTGAGGTGGAAATCCGCAACCTTATTTAAATGCTGCCAAAGTGATTTCTCTGATGGCCTCTCTCTGCCTAACATTCATGAGGTGGCTCTAGGTTAATTCTTCCCTGATTCTTAGAAGATTCTAGTGCCTCTGAGGGCATGGCAAAGTGTCTACCAGGTCATAGCGATGATGACGACAGGCAGCAGCCAGAAGCAGCAGACCTGACTCCTTCCTTCTTTAGATGTCCATGTCCAATATGGAAGTTTGAAAAACATTTTTATTGTTTGGTATTTCTATGCTTGACTCATTCAAGCAATGGATGTTCCAACTTTTCTATTTCCTTTTCCTACATAACACACACAGTGTGATTTTCTATTGTATAAAATAGATCACCTGCTGTGTCAGCTGCCCTCACCCCTGTGTAGTAGAGACGTCTTCCACTCTGGGGTCTGGGAGGAGATGGGCTGCCCGCCCCCATCAGCAGACCCCTCTGCATTGACACTTTATCTGCTAAGTGCTTCTAGATAAGATTGCTATAAGTATAAAACAAGCCCTGTATTATTACTTTAGTCAACTCATTTTAGAATGAATGTAAAAAAATGGAGAATGAGGAATTAAAAATTGACAAGATAGCTAGATCATATGGTAGATCTGTTTTTAAGGGTGTGTGTGTGTGTGTGTGTGTGTGTGTGTGTGTGCGCGCACGCGCACACGCGCGCACACATGCACGCTTAGGGGCTTGAGCTCAAGGCTTCCAGTTCTCATTTGGCTTTTTTGATTAAGATCATCATTCTGCCATTTGAGCAATACCTCCATTTCTGGCTTTTTGCCACTTAATTGGAGATAAAAGTCTCATAGGTTTCCTTGCCTGGGCTGGCTTTGAACCATAATCCTCAGATTTCAGACTCCTGAGTAGCTAGCACTACAGGTGTGAGCCACCAGTGCTTGGCTTTAGCCTTTTATTGTTATTTATGTTCCCTTGAAGTAGTTGTACAATCACATTGCAATTCAACGCATCAATTTATGAGCACAATTCATCTTGATCAGTTCCATCATTCTCCGCTATCTCTCTCAACCTCACCCATTTTCATTTTGTACACTGAATACTATGACTCCATTTGCCCACCCTTCCTTTTTCCATCTATCTACCCTCTTAACTTCTTTTTAGAGTGGTGGCTGTGTATATTTCTAAAGCTAGTATGACTTCTTTCTACTTCCTCAAAGTTTTAAAACAGGTAACATTTTGGAAGATTGCCAGGTAGAGTGAACAGAGGAATGTGGTTGTTTATTTGTTGCAAGACTAAGGGGAAGTACTTGTAGCTAGGACTTTATAACCAAGTGAATCTAGAAATATAAATCTTGTGGAATAAAATTATACTTTATTGAAGAATTGCTGACAGTGGAGTTAGATTTTATTTTATTCAGAACAAATTGATTATATATGTGGCCTTCAGGTTAATCTGAGTTCCCATTCTGTCACCTTTGTTTATGGTTAATTTACCTTCTTAAGGAATCTGTATTTTCTAAGAACATTTTGAAGAGTTTTCTATTTTTCCATTAGGAAACTTGAGATGGAAGCAAAGAGAAAACAAGAAGAGGAGGAGAGGAAGAGAAGGGAAGATGATGAAAAGCGCATTCAGGTATCTGTTTATGGGACTAAAAGAAGTGAAAATGAGAGCATCAACTGCTAAATCAGCTGGCAGCTGGCTCATCTGGTGTGCCTCAGGGTTCGGGATGGGACTTTGGAGCTAGGGAGGTGGGTTCCAAACCAGGAACTGTCACCAACAGAAAAGGGGCATTGTGCATGGCATAATGAATCGTGTGTGGGTCAGAGTTTCTCTCTGTGTTATTCAGTGGGAGACATAACACTTGTATTAAATGAGCTAACATACATGAAAGCATTTAGAATGGTGCCTAGCTCAATTAATATGGCTGATGGTATGCTTAGTGGAAAGTCAGGAAAACATTTACTTAAAAGATACATTTTATGGTTTAAAATATTTCATAACTTTACAGATGCTGGTGTTAAAAGGTTAGGATGAAAGTATTCTTTCCTAAAGTATTTTGAAATTGAGTTGCGGGCTGATAGCTCATGACTATATAATTGTAGCTACTCAGAAGGCTGAGATGTAAGAATCTACCGATTGAAGTTTAAAGCCAGCCTGTGTGTGTGTGTGTGTGTGTGTGTGTGTGTGTGTGTGTGTAAGTAACTAGCAGAAAGTTAGAAGTGGAGCTATGGCTCATATGGTAGAGCGCAGCCTTGAACTAAACAAGAATGTAAAGCCTTAATGTCTTCAAGTCCCAGTAGGGCACACACACAACTGTTACTTTCTAACTTCATAGATGTGGCATTAATAGGATAGGATTCAAGTATTCTTTCTGTTCCCAGCTTTTACCAAGATATCTGTCTGGGAATAACTGGTCATGTATTCAGGTGTGTCTGTCTGGGCTCTGATATGGCCACATGACACTACCTGCTACCCTGCGGGTGTCGGCGGTAATTCGAGCCCCAGGATTCTCACGACGTTTGGGACACTCAGAACCAGAGTTCCAGGGCCAGGTTTGCTCTGCCTTTCCTGCGGCTGTGGGCAAGACAAGCACCAGGGATCACCTGGGAGGAAACAAGGACTGCCCGCTGGCTAACCCGGGCAGAGTATGCTTCCTGGCCTCGCGAAAGACCTGGTGTGGGCTCCGGGCTTTGGGTCCGCTGGAAGCGATGCCTTGGGATTGGTTAATGGGCCTTTGTGCTCCTCGTGATTGGCTAACGGGTCTCTGTGCGCCTCGTGATTGGCTAACGGGCCTGTGTGCTGGGCAGGCGGAGGTGGAGCTGCAGCTGGCGCGGCAGCGGGAGGAGGAGGCGCAGCAGCAGGCGGTGCTGGAGCAGGAGCGCCGGGACCGCGAGCTGGCCCTGCGCATCGTCCAGAGCGAGGCGGAGCTCATCACCGACGAGGCCCAGGGCGACCTGGCCCTCCGCAGGTACGGGCCGGGCGGGCTGTGCCCTCTCCCCCCGGCCGCGCTTTCCATGTGAGGGAGCAGCGGGAAAACCACAGGAGGAGCTCTGGGGTCCTCCCAGGTCACGAGGCATGGTCACCCCCGAATCACTTGTATCCGTGGACGGAAGCAGTAGATCCTCCCACCCACGTATTAGACTGGTGAAAAAGAAAACGGAAACTGTAATTCGAGCTATGCAGCAGACTGAGATCCGAAGATCACAGTTCAAAGCCAGCCCAGGCAGAAAAGTCCATTAGCCAGCAAAATATCAGGCTGGAGGCATGGCTCAAGTGGTAGAGCACCAGTCATGAACAAAGTAGCTGAGCAAGAGTAAAGGCACCGAGTTCAGGCCCAGAACCAGCAAATGAACGAATGAATGAATAAATTAACAAAAAATAAGAAAATGACTCAGCTCTTACTCTAAAACTGCCTGAGTATTGTAACAATTATTTTCTGACTACTTTGTCTCCTCAGATTATAACTACTTGTCAGCTACTGTGATTCCTCAGTTTTCTAAAGATTGACACAAGATCTAGTATCATTATGTAGTTTAATATAGTTGAGGATGGGATTTTTTTTCCTTTTTTTCCTTTTGGTTGGTTCTGGGGTTTGAACTCAGGGCCTTGCATTTGCACAGCTTGCTTGCTCACAGCTGGCACTCTACCACAAGAGCCGCACCTACAATCTGGCATTTTCCTGATTAATTGGGGATGGAATCTCTTGGACCTTTTTGCTCAGGCTGACTTCAAACTATCATCCTTTGTGTCTCAGCCTTCTGAGTAGCTAGGATTATAGGTGTGAACCACTGGCAGCAGACTATTTTTAAATATTGTAGTAGATATGAGAAAGGTTATGGGAGATCTTAATAGTCACAGGAAACTACAAGTCAGTTTTATTTATTACCTAAAAATTCAGAATATAAAACAATAGTTATTTTGATTACTTATAAAAGCAAAGCAAACTTGTTTTTGTGTTAATTTCTTTTACATTTAGGTATAATATAAAGCACATAAACATAACTTCAGAACAATTTAGGACAAAATACAGTCACTAGATGGAGCTATTTCCTCATGACAAAAGACTGGGTTTCAATTGATTGCAATTCAGATGGTTGAATTTTATTGGGCTGAACGCAAAAATGAGGAGGGAAAGAGTTTGTTAAGTTGCCTGCACACACTTTTCTCGTAAGTGATTATTGAAGATGCCCCGAGTCTGAATTATAAATGTTGTAAATATACTGGCTAAGCTATACCACAAAAGTTGTTACAGTAATTATATGTTGGGTTTATGCCCAGCTCTTGGGCCATTTAATAACAATTCATTTTAATTAAGCTGTTTTGGTCTGACTGTGACCCTTGTAAATGCATATGGCCTGGCTGCTCTTGTTCCTCCCAGTATGGGTTGGGGTGGCTGGGAGCTTTTACAGCCTCAGTGGTAGCCAAGTTAAGCTTTTAGTAGTGAGGCTCTTGTAGCTCCTCTTCCTGATTTCTTTGAGATGTATTTTAGGTGACAGCACAGGATTTGTCATGGCTCAAGTTCATTTCTTGGGGGCTTGTTACTGAAATAATGGTTAGCACTCACTTCCAAGCTTGATGCTAAACATTTGAGATAGAGAACTGTGTCCTGTGCCAGACGGTATACCGACAGGCCCTCTGTGCACAGTCACTGGCTTGCACGCATCTCCTTCCTGCTGTCAGGGATGTGCACCAGGGGCGGGAATTCACGACCTCTCATGTAGGGGTTGGGAGACTTGGGATTAAGTGAAGCAGAACGAACTACACAATGGGAGCGCTTATAAGTAATGAGGTGGCCAGGCCATCCCCAATCAAAGGGCAGAAGAGTGGGTGCTAGTGCTCCTGTCCGTAGTCCTGGCGACGGTCAGTCCCCTTCTCTGACCCCAGGTCCTCTCAGCCCCTCCTCTTCTTGGAGTTATTTTAGATGCTGTACTGTAGGCTTTATGGCTTCATTATAGATGATGGATGGTCTATACAGATACCCCACGTTGGAGGTTTTCTTTTTCTTATTCAGTGGACTGCAAATAAATGTTTTTATTTTTCCCTTGTTAGTGTTGAACTTTTTCTATAACCCACTTACGAGTGAGATTCTCTAAGCCTGTTGTGAAAATATAACAAAAAAAGTGTTGTTTTGGGTATCTGTGCTGTGTTTTAAAAATTACATATAAATGGATTCTGCTGCAATAAACAATTTTATTTTTCCAGCTTGACTTCCTGCCAAGTAACTCCTAAGTAAGAACTGTTTCCACATATATGTGTTTTAGAATATCTCAATCAGTTACATGTGCAATGCTCGATGCAGTGATTTCAACTGCCTGAAATTATAAAGTAATCCATTTTATCAGGACAAATGTCACAATGTAAGAATTATCCAGTCTATATGTGTTTGCACACTTCTTTATTCTTTCTTAATCCTCTGAATGAAGATTTCCAAATATATAACAATTCTGAGTAATCTCACCTAGATTAAAGATAACTGAATTTTCAAAATCAATGAATGAATAATTGGAACCCAAATTTATTATTGGAACCACAGATTTTTACAGTTTGGAGTTAGTGATGATATTAATTAAAATATATTCTTTTCACAGAAATGATGGAACAAGACCCAAAATGACTCCGTATGTTATTTCCCTTCTTCTTTTAAAAATAACTTATGTGCACTTTTTGAAGAGAAGTGGTTTCCTCCTTGGAGTAAATTTTAAATTATTTTCTTTTGTTAGAAGAGAATGAGATAAGCCATTTTTTTCCATGCAGAGGGAAACTGTTTTAGGCTGCTGTTTAAGCTCTCAGTAATTTATGCTCTGGTCCTTTTTCTGTGTTGTCTTTGCTAAAACTTCAATATCAGTTGGTTGTATGTGCTTTAACTCTCCTTTACCTTAGTCAGAATAGCAGATGTGGAGGGGTAAATAGGAAAACATGAATTATTTAGTTTTCAGTATCTAGGTTGGTGGTTTCTACCAATATCTAAAAGAGGTCACGATCTGAAGTTGTATGTATAATGTATATTTTTGCAATTTAAGTCACTTCACAGAGAAACAACCCTAGCAAAGCTTGAAAAGGAAAACATTATACAATATATTTTACAAAGTATGTACATATAGTTATTTATATCTAATCTGAATCTTACCAGCTTCAAGAACTCCAACCCTTATAGTGACAGTCCTCAACTCTGTATCAGATTTCACTACCAATAACAAATACCTTATAAATGATGTAAGCTATGTAGATAACTCTCTACAAATAATACATGTAAAGGAAAAATAAAAGAACATTTACTAATGATAAAATAACACTTGTGTTAGTTGCAGCAGAAGACAGAAGTCAGGCGCTTGTGTCCTGCTCATGCACAGAATCCCCTCCAGCCCCAGGTGCATGCTGATGCAGGAAGTTGTCTGAGGAACTCAGATGTCATGAAATTTGGATAAATCCTTTCCAAATCCTTAGTCCTCATGAAGGACTAAATCCAACCTCCTGGTGATTGCCTTATATCCACATCCCTAGAAGAACTACTTGTTACAACTATAGTCCCAGTGCCTGTGGCTTACCCCTATAATCCTAGCTACTCAGGAGGCTGAGATCTGAGGATCGTGGTTCAGAGCTAGAGCATGAAGAAAGTCCTATTTGATAGTTAATTGGAGGAGTGGTAAAAAAGCTTAAGGCCTGGAACTGCCCTGAGTTCAAGCCTCTGTACTGGCACACACACACACACACACACACACACACACACACACACTTATTTATTGCAACTGTCAGAACAGTATTGACGTACAAATCTTGGGTTATATGTGAAGATGTATCTGCACGTGTGTGTTTCACCATCGCATGTCTGTGGACATGGAAGCTACAGTTCTTCAGGTGGATGGCATTTGGTTTGCCTGCTGTCACCCCACTAATGCCAGCACAGCACACTTACATAAGGGCGTCACCCCACTTCTACCCCAGCCATAGAAACTGCCTCTGAAGGGCCACTCTTGCCATCCACTATTACAACAGCGACTGCTATGTGGACAATTTATGCTTGGATTAAAAAATCCTTGCACTTGCAACCCATGTCTCAGGGAAGTGCGTGCGCTGAGATACAGTTTAGTGAGGCAGCAGAGTAGGAAGTATGAGGTAGTCTAAAGGAAGGGGGAGGCTGAGAGGAAGAGGGCAGGAACTAATGCTGCGAGGACATGGAAATGCAGGGAAATGCAGGATGTCTTGGGAATCAGAAATGGAGAGAGCAATTAGAGACAAATGGGCAGAAGTAGTATAGCAGACTCACAGGCTACAAGGAACAGAGCTTGACAAAGCAAAATGCCAAAAGGTGTGGGCAGGCTGCTGTCCGTCCCTGTGCCAGGCTGGCAGTAGCACTGTCAGCATTTGGTTTTACCTGATTTCCCTTCTAAGATTCTTCTGGACGTGTAGGCATACACTTGCACAGTCCTCTACAAAGCCTCTGGGCCCTGGCTTGTCAGGGTGAGGCCCGGATGCAGTGTTTCTGTGATCATTAGGACAGCGGCTGGGCGGTCTCACCCACCTGCCCACCCAGGGACAGGTGGACGGGCCCTGCGTCTGCCCACCTTTGGCCCACAGTTGCTCCTGGGCTGCTTAACTCACAGCCAAAGGCTGAGCTGGACTGGGCCGCACCCTCAGGACTCAAATTCATCAAATCAGGAGAGACGCATGTAGATGCTGGCCTCATTTCTGTCTGGGGAACTTGGCCATGCTGAGAGGAGGGGTGATGATCAGTGCATCTTCGCTCACATAGGCTCAGGTAGGAGAACCAGTCACCAGAGACTTACTGTAGCAGTGCCACACAAAGAGAAAGCTTGGTACGCTCATAAGCCTGCTAAAGCCACTTGGCTCTTGAAAGCGGCTCTGCAAACACCAGTGCAGCAGTAGGCTGTCAAAGAGATGGTCCGAACACACCGAAACCTTGAGGCGGATGGTGATAGAATTAAAAATTCTTAACACAATCACACTGAGTTCTAAAGTGAGAAAATTCGGAGAAACCACTGGCTTAAAGAGAGATTGATTGGTGGTATATTGCTCAAAAGATACAGTTTCCAAAAAAAATTAGATTGCATTTCTTTATGTTTTGTTGCTTGTCCTTCCTAAGTCAGTTTGTAAAGATTGTTTTCCTGGCTACGCCTGCTCAGATAGACTCCCGCTAGCGTCTCACTGGGGCCAGTGTTCATTGCCAGAGCAGATTCAGTGTCCTGGCTCTTGGCTGGCATCCAGGAAACTGCTCTACAGCAAGTATAACTGATTTGTGAGGTTTGACGTTTACTAGGGTTGGTGGAATAGAATGAATGAGAAACTACTTAACTATGAAGGAAAAGAGCAAATAGCACAAAAAGGAAATAATGAACTTAATGAAGTGTTAATGAGCACACGGAAATTTCCGGCCCATTTCACAGCATCAAGCAAATGCTAAGAAAGGTCACACTCTCCTGGGTGAGGAAAGAAAAATAGGCTCTTCCTCTGTTCATCCTTGGAAGGGCAGAGTACGCCAGAACTTCCCTGGAGCATGTATGCATATTGATTTCCTTTTTCTTGTTCTTTTTTGTAAAACACAAACAAACAAACAAACAAAAACAACTGATTTGAAATTTTAGAGCTTTGAATGCATTTGATTTTTTTTTAAAAACTCTGACACTGTAAAATATATCAGCTGGATTTACCACCATTATGGTTTATCTAATTAGTTTATCTAATCACTAAATGTTTCTGGTGCAGAAATCTTGTTTAGAATCAGTACCCTCGCAAACTTTCTGCATTTATTTATAACACACTGTTTATATTTGGTACATGAAAAATATGAAAAAAAATGGTGTGACTTTACCTGAAAGTTCTTATGTAAAAATAGTGAAGTGGTTCAAACCATTAATTCTAGCTACTCATAGAGGCTAAGATCTCAGAAATTGAGGTTCAAAGCCAGTCTGGGCAGAAAGTGCATGGGACTCTTAATCTCCAGTTAACCAGCTAAAAGCTGGAAGTGGAGCTGTGCTCAAGTTGATAGAACACCAGCCTTAGTGAAGAAGCTCAGGGATAGTGCTCAGGCCCTGAGTTCAAGCCACAGTAGAAACACACACACACACACACACACACACACACACACACACACACTCAAGTATCTTTAACTGGATTTACCATATTTTATGGTTAGCTTGGCTGAGAAGTATATCCTAGCTTTACAAAGTAAAATAATTGTGAATGGTTAATAAACTGATAATAATTGTTAACAAATTGATAGAAGCAATCAGTGTGTGTTGGATGTGTGTAACTGTTCTATTTGTCATTTTTCTTATAGGGAACAAATGGCCAAAGAAATGTCAGAATTTTTGAGTAGGTCAGTGCAGTGTGTTTGGTGAAATACATTTTCATCACAAAAAAATCAAATCAAATCACATTTTAAAATTACTTTTGATTATTTGGACTAGAGCCTGTTATATGAATAGCTCACGTTTTCCATGTAAAATCTCTATGTAGGAAATACCACTTTGCCCTTACCCCCAGCCCAATACCAAAGAGCTGAAAAAGTGGGGTTCGGGTTGAGGGCATGGCTCAGTTGATAGAGTGCTAGCCAATGAGTGAAAACAGCATGAGGTACCGAGTTCAAGTCCTGGTCTCAGACCTGGAAAACAAAAAGAAAAGAAAAAGTAGGGTTCCTGTCCTCATGGCTGTTCCCAGGGTCACAATTGTGTTCAGAGTGGGGGTGAGCCCTTGTTAGCGCTGCTTACCCCTAACAGTGTCCTTATCCTCCCCAGGGAGGGGCTGCTGCCTACTCTCCCCCATCCCACCCCCCCGGGGAGGGGCTACCCCTGGTTTGGGAACCAGGCCCCTGCCTGAAGTAAGGGGAGGAAGAGGGTGGCTTCTGAGGCACTTCACGCCACAGGCTGTAGTGGAAAACCCACCTGTCCAAAGCATGCGACTTCCCGGCAGGGTCTGGTCCATTGCTTTAGAAGTGAGTAGGAATCAAAGGCATTTTAATCTTCAACTTTCAAGTTAGAAAGTTAATTAAAAATGTTCACTTAATAGATTTTTAAAAAATCAAGTCAGCTTTGCTACTATTTTAATGAATTGTTTACCTGATTGTCTTTATCACAAGTCTAATGATCAGTAAATTGCACCTTTGCTTTGCTATTTTAATTACTTGAAAGCTGAGGGGAGGCATGTGTTTAAGTGTATTTGCATTCATTTACTTTTTCAACCACAGGATATATTTTGCAGCAGGTATATTCTTGTTTGAAGTAACGTGAATGAAAAGCATTAATTATTGGAACTCACAGTGTTACTTCTTAAAAGTATCAAACCACACCTCATGTATATTCTGACAATCTATGAAATTGCGTATTTGTCTTCTTGCAAAAAAGAGTAAAAAAAATCATAATTCTCAATTACTCTTCTAGAAAAACTCCAGGAAGAGCTCGGGCATGGGGGAAGAGAATGTTTTTCATTCATTTTGTTGAATGTCAGTTTAGGGGTCTAGAAGAGAAAAGAATATTTGGGTAACTGTTAGATCGTCATTTACCATGAAGGGGAGAGCACTTGCTGGTGTGCAGTATGCAGCAGTATGTGGTGCCTGGTGCCTAGCGTAGTGTTGCAGAAGTAAAGGCTACACGCAAAGCTGCTGCTCCCATGGCAGGTGAAAAATACAGATTGTACAGAAAAGTAAAACAGACAGAACTGTAAGACTGAATGGTCATGCCTTGCCTTTACCATGTCAAACACTTCAAAGAGGACATCGTGTAAAACATGCTGGTTTTATTCTCCAAAATAAAAACCTACATGGGCAACAATAACTTACTAACTTCATTTTAAGCCAAGCAGTGAAAAAGTATTCCCTCCTCCCCTTTTTGGAGATAAAAGTCTCATGGCCTTTTTAAAATTGGCGATAAGAGTCTCATGGACTTTTCTACCTGGGCTGGCTTTGAAATGTGGTACTCAGATCTCAGCCTCCTGAATAGGTTGGATTACAAGTGTGACCCTCCAGTGCCCATGGTGTAATGTCCCCTGACTCAGGAAGAAAGTGACACATTGTTAAATACCATTTCCAATCAATTAGTTGCTAAGTGACTATGTCTTGAGCATTTTCTGGGATTTCTGTTATCTTTCAAAATGTAACATGGTGAGAAAATATCAGTTGCTTTTTGGGTAGTATACCTTGATAACCCCTCTAAAGAGTAAATCGTGTCCAAGTAGAAGATGAAGAAAGAGAATTTACTTGTGTGATGCCCAGGAAGCATTAGTTTGGCTCTTTTTCCCATGTCCTGAAGACTCCAGGATTTAAAGTCTTCCTTTGTTACACTGAGCATAAAGTGCTGCAACTGATTCTGCCTATCTTGTCATGTACAAAGCATAAATCTTTTGCTGAAAAATACTCAGTATTACAGAAAAATTGTTCAGATATTTTCTCAAATGGTTTGCATAAAAACCACATCTTAGCATGGTGTGGAGGCACATTCTTGTATTTCCAGCAGAAAGATCATGGATTCAAGACCATCCTGGACTCCACAGCAACAATGTATCTCAAATACAAGAAGCTAGCTACTGGTGGCTGATGCATGTATTCCTAGCTATTCAGGAGGCTGAGATCTGAGTCTCTTATCTCCAGTTAATCAGCAAAAAAGCTGGCTCAAGTGGTGGAACACTACTAGCCTTGAGCAAAAACTGTCAGGGACAGTGCCCAGGCCCTGAGTTCAAGTCCCAGGAATGGCACACAATTAAAGTCATGTCCTTTGAAACTTCTGTTCTGTACCTCATGACCCCAACGGATCTTCTCCCAACAAGATGGCTCACTAACTTGAAGAGTCTGCATGAGGTGTCCTCAGAGTCTCTGGGCCCCAGTAGTTCTTCCAGCCTATCTGTGAGCTGTGGTAGGGCATGGCTTAGCTGCTCACCTGTGGAGGTTGTGTGTATCCAGATGCCCAAGGCGGTCCAGAGCCAGTGAATCTGAAGGGAGCTGAGCAGCTATGGCTTTCAGAAGTGATCTTACTGGGTGACCTAGGGGCGCAGACACAAACAATATTGTTCAAATGTCATACAACAACATGGTCATTCAAATCTGTTGAAAATTTCTTGACTTTGAGAAATTGGTGCAAATGTAGTTGTGAACTTTATAAATGTTCCCATTATGTAAGAACATTTAAGCTTCATTCTGGGTCAAATCCAGGCATATTGGAATGATGGGATCATGATTTTTAACATAAAACCTAATGTAATTATCAAGTAGCACAATGGAAATGATGATTGACTAGATTTTTTTTCTTAGTGTACCTTTTCTTTTTCCTTTGTCATGGTGCTGGGGAGTGAACCCAAGGTCTTGCGCATTCTTGCTCAGTGCTCTACCACAGAGCTACAACCCAGATCTAGCACATCATTCTTAATCGAGTCGGTCAGAGACTTTTTTTTTTAGAAGTTTCCAGTCTTCAAACTTAAGGACCCTTTTATTTGCCTCTTTGTTTCATTCTTATTTCTAGTTTACATATGTAAATATGTATACCCATTTCAGAGGCCCTGCTGTGCAAGCAACCAAGGCAGCTGCTGGAACCAAGAAACACGATCTCAGCAAGTGGAAATATGCCGAACTCCGTGACACCATCAATACTTCATGTGGTGAGTGTGGGAGGCTGGGCAAATGGAGGTCCCCAGTGATGGAAAACAGAACCATACTAGGTCAGGGGACACATAGGTATATTTGTATGAATCAGCTTAAGGCAGTCTTGAAGACTTTGAGGAGGAGCAAATGTTGAAAGGGGTGACACTGATCAAGAGGCATTGTATTCATAAACTGCTTGGCTTGTGCTCTGTTAATGCCTGGCCCTTCTACTGCTAATACCTCTATATATCTAAATAGTTTGTTCATAAATGCAGAGGAGCAGCACTGCAGTCTTTCTTTAGAAAGCAGTTTTTCCTCCAAGGGAAGAATTGAGTTAAACACAACATCCAGAGGATGTCACGTGGTTATAGTTTTGTTTACTGTCTTAATGCAGGGCTCTCATAGGAATGAAAGGATTGCAGTGGGCAGAATTTCTCACTATGTTCTTTTCCTTCTCACTCGAGTATATAACGATAAAAAATGTGTTGCATTCAAACATGGCTTACATTTGAGCACAAAGACTTTATTCTATTTTTCACTTTTATGATTTAGTTTCTTCATCTGAATACTTGTTTCACCCAAATTTTTGTGTGTGGAACAAATAATATAAGATATTAATATTTGAGAAAATGCTTTGTGAATTTGAAACATAATATCACATAATGCTTATTATTACTATTATTATTGTTGTTGTTGTTATTTGTGCTTGAATCCATGGTTCTGTCTAGGTGCTGTCCTTGAACTTTTTTGCTCAAGGCTAGCACTCTACCACTTGAGCCACTTCTGGCTTTTTGGTGGCTAATTGGAAGTAAGAGTCTCATGGACTTTCCTGCCCTGGTTGGCTACGAACCACTGGCTTTGAAACCTTATTTTGTATGTATCTCTTTATGCTACAAGATAGTTACATTATATGGATAAATTGGGATGTTAATGCTTCCCCCTCTTCTCCCTTTCTATGTAATCAATAGATATTGAGCTACTGGCAGCCTGCAGAGAAGAATTCCATAGGCGACTAAAAGTGTATCACGCATGGAAATCTAAGAACAAGAAGAGAAATACTGAAACCGAGCAGCGTGCTCCAAAGTCTGTTACTGATTATGGTAAAAACAAATCTGTATTTCTGAATGTTCCAAAGTCTGTATATTTACGAATGCCTGTAACTCTAGACGTGAGATGTTTGAGTAAAATATCCAGTGTCATTTTTCTCTCACTGCAGGTGGAGATCAACTGAACTTAGTAGTTATAATGGCCTGTCTCTTACAGCATTCTTTTCATTGAACATACCTTGGAAGTCATATTTGTTAGTATAATTGAATTTGCTCATTGAAATAAGCTACAGGGAAGAATTTTCTTGACTTCAATACAGGTTGTTCAATACTTTTGTAGCGAGATAGTTTTCCCTACGCATACACACAGAGAGCAAGATTATATGTGAAAATGTAAAGATTACTATAATTCACTTGCTTGGTAAATAAGTTTTACAGATGAAAATGACTGTTTTATATTTGCTAAGTAAGATCTGACTTAATTTTTTGTTTTTAAATTTTCCTTTATTTCTAGGTTTCATGTCACTAAGATTTGGTTAGACTACACAAGTTTTTATTTATTTACTTATTTATTCTTACTGGTCTCTTTTTATGCAAAAGACCATGTGTACACTTAAATGTAGAAAATAGAGCAGTCTAGCCCGACCCTAGTCAAAGCCACATGGACTTCAGCATGCACTAAGAAGACTTCTGATACATGATTTAATAGTATTTTCATTTTCTAAAAGGTGAAATTGGAACTTCATTTGTCAACTTGCTACTTTTATACTGGCACAAATTATTTGCTTGATTCCCATTAATATCAAGGTGAGGGGAGGTTAAATATCTTTTTTAAAAGAACGTATTCTGTATACATCACAGTGGTTAGCAGTGCATGAACCAAGTTTACTTAGACATCAGCTCTTGGATATATTTGATTTTTTAAAATTGTTATTATAAAGGTGATATACAACGGGGTTACCAGTTTATGTTTGATTTTCTTTCTTGCCATCTTTTTTTTTGGGGGGGGTCTGGTCGTGGGGCCTGAACTCTAGGCCTGGGCACTGTCCCTCAGCTCTTCAGCTCAAGGCTAGCATTCTACCACTTGAACCACAGCGCCACTTCTGGCTTTTTTCTTTTTGCTTATGTAGTGCTGAGGAATCGAACCCAGGGCCTCATGCATGCAAGGCAAGCGCTCTATCACTGAGCCACCTTCCCAGCCCTCTTTCTTGCCATCTTACAAGTAAATAATAGCAATCTTCAAATGAAGTCCATCAAATAATGCCATGTTAGTGTTTGTAAGTTGTTGAAGAACAGACTGTGGGTTGGGACTGCTGTCACCTCAGCAATCATTAGCGCCAGTAACTGCTCAAGGGTTGTTAGGCAGATGGCAGCTTCCTGAGCGGTACTGTGGTCATATCGGCCACGTGATCCTCACAGATACCTCTTCCCTTCCTGTTTAATGTTTCTGCTCTGCGATTTGCAGATGGCAGGGTGATTCCATTGCCTGCTCATTGTCTGCATATTAGGTTCTGCCATGTTACCTTTGTTTTGTGAAAAAAACAAAACAATATGCTCTCATTCAGTGCAGTCTGTTGAGCTGTAAATGTTCCAATGGTGACGATTGGCTTCAACTTGATACGACCAAAGTGATGGATTTAAAAATGTATATGCCTGAGCAAGTGCACTTTTTATAAGAAGTAGCAATCAGTATGGCGATGCAATCAATATTGTAACAGGTTTTAAGTGAATATACACGTATACTTGATCTAACAGCACACACAAAAAAGGTGCACTTAATACAGGGCTCGCCTGGATGGTCCAAGTATTGTTTCTACTCCTGATTTATTTAAAAGAACAAATAAAGGAGATTGAGAATTTTTCTGGGTTCCATCCAGGTGTCTGAATAAATTTAGGAATTTTTTTGTGACTATAGTCCACGTGTATTTAACGGTCATATGTACGAACCCCTTTAAGGATAAAAATCTAATTTCCACTCAGACAAGTACTTCTCTTGCTTTTGCTGATGTAAAACTTCATCTGATCCAGGAGCAGCGGAAGGCAGCCAGGCGTCCATCAGCTCCGTGGGGGAAATCAGTTCTTAGGGGCAGCCAGACACCTGTAAAATAGTCTGCTATTACTAGTTAGCAACACTGACTTCACGAATCTGAGAACTGATGACACCTAGGAGGCAAACAAGATGTAACCTGGCATAGTCAGCTACAAGACAGACACACTAAGAAGCCATGGGAAATCCCACAGAATGAGAGATCCACCCCAGGCCTGGCCCAGCCCTCTGCAGGCGGGAGTATGTGCTGGCAACCCACTTCCGGAAACTACAGAGGAGTTTTCAGAAGTGGTTTTTGGGGAGCAGTGGGAAATTACCCTGTTAATATTCACAACATTTAATCATTGACAGTAGTGATGGTGGTAATTACTGCATTGTTTCTCAAATTAAAATGGCATAAGCTTTCAAGAGTTATAGAAAATCTGAAGAAATTAAGACATGCTGATTATGTGAAAAGTGACCCATGTCCGTAGTCACCATTTAAGGATTTTGTTTGGCTATGTCTCAGAATGAAACTGAAATATAGATTTAAATTTCAGTCCTTTTGTGACCTGTACCTCAAATAGAAATAGCCTAAAACATCATGAATCAAAGTACCATTCCTTCCAAAATCAGAAAGCAGCAATTACTTTGTAGGTATCTGGCTTATAAATAGGGTAGTTATTTGTCGCCCCCCCTCCCCCTCCTCAATTGATGGGATGGATTTATATATTAGAAAAATGCTAATTTAACAAGTATTTCTGGCATTTTTATCTTTTCATCGTCAAATATTTATTCACAGATTTTGCACCATTTTTGAACAATTCACGTAAGTCAATGGGGGGATGGTAACTCATGAGCTAACTGGAAAATGGGTTAAAATACTTTATAAAGCACTAACTGGTTTCAAACATTGTTTTGCTACAATGCAAAGTGGAGTTGTAGTACTTTGAACTTGGTCTGCCTATTCCATATATAATATTTAAATTTGAAATGAGGCATTTATTTGGTTCATTCCAAAATGAATATGAAAAACAAAACGTGGGGCTGGGAAGGTAGCTCAGTGGTAGAGTGCTTGCCTTGCATGCATGAGGCCCTGAGTTCTATTCCTCAGCTCCAAATAAGCAGAAAAAGCTGGAAGTGGCGCTGTGTCTCAGGTGGTACAGCTCTAGCCTTGAGCTGAAGAGCTGAGGGACAGCGCCCAGACCCAGAGTTCAGGCCCCACAACTAGAAAAACAAAACAAAACAAAACACATATCTGAAGGTTTCTGTTCTTTTTAAATTTTTGAAACTTTGAGTATACTACAATTTGCATTGTAGCCAAACTGTATCTTATATAGCAGCTGATCTTTTAGAAGAAAGACTAACTTCTAGGTGCTGGTTTCAGATGCTGCTTTTTCAAGTACTGTGTGGTATCTGCATTTCTACCCAAAAAAGATTTGAGGGTTTGCTCTTTTTTTTTAATGTTAGCAAATATTTCTGCAAATAGGGGCAGAGCAGGAAGACTAGAGAGAGGAAACATTGCCTGACATGCAGGAGGGGGAGCAAGAGGCTCAAAAATGGGGATCCTTGTCCTGGGTATATTTGTTTCTTTTTCTTTTTTGTCTGTACTGCTTGAACTCAGGGCCTGGACACTACCCCTGAGCCTCTTTGTGCTCAAGGTTAGCACTCTACTACTTGAGCCACAGTACCACTTCCAGTGTGTTTTTTTGAGTGGTTAATTGGAGATAAGAGTCTCAGGGGTACTTTTCTGCCCCACCTGGCTTTGAACTATGATCCTCAGATTTCAACCTCCTGATTAGCTAGCTAGGATTACAGGCGTGAGCCACCAGCACCTGGCTTCTTTCTCTTTATCAAAAAATAAAATTTATTTTTATTATCCTTCTGTAATTGTACGAAAGGGTTTCAGTTCCACATGTCAGTTTGTGAGTACAATGCATCTTGGTGAATGTCCCCCCTTATTTACATCTTCTGAGCTGGGGCAATTCTAGCCTAAACCCTTACCTAGATATAGGGTCATGTCAATAGCAAACTGTAATCATTTTACCAGATTCCTAACCATTCAGACAATGGGTATAGGGTGAGTCTATTATTACCCAAAACCTGGAGATAATGACATAACACTTTAGAGTTCCCTTATTGTACAGTATTATGTACAATTTTAATAATGGAAAGAGAAAATAATTTTGTTACTTCCTTGGTTTCCTATGAGGCATATCCTTCTCTAAGTTAGAAACTTTAGAGTACAGTAAATCTCTTCTAGAATCAATTGAGCAGTAATGATTTGGATATGACACCATATTCATTTACCAGCTGGTTAGACCTGATTCTTTTAAGTCCTTTGCATGATTTATGATTTATGAGGTTATGTTTGAAACCTGTTTACACTTTTGAAGATAATACAATTGGATGTGCAAGGAAATTGTTTAGTTTCTAGCTTTTAATTTTCTCTACCTTTTTTTTTTTTTTGGCCTTTTTTGGGGCTTGAACTGTCCCCGAGCTTCTTTGCTCATGACTAGCACTTTACCACTTGAGCCACAGTGCCACTTCCAGTGTTTTCTGTTTATGTGGTATGAGGAATAGAATCCAGGGCTTCATGCATGCTAGGCAAGCACTCTACTACAAAACTACATTCCCACCCCCAGTTTTCTGTTTCTGAACTTTCTAGATAGAGACCGGTTTTTTGCCTTTCTCTTCAACAAAACTTCAGTTCTCCAATTAGTAGAAAAGGTTATCAAGTACTTTGGCTTCTCAATTTTACTCAATATATTCAGTTACAAGAGACTTATAAGAAAAATGTAAGCTAATGGATGACTACCAATATTAAAATAAATTTTGAACCAACTGAACATAACATTGTCCCTACTTAAAATGTCAAGAAGGATTGTCTTTTTGATTTTTTTCAGCACCTTTAATGTTTAGTGTATTTCCTCCATGGTAGGTAAGGTTTTAAACTTCAAGTTTGATCACTGAGTTGTATGTAGCCTCCAGAAACAGGAACAAAAGAATAAGCAAGCTGATCTCTCTTAATACGCTAAAGGTGACCTTGGTGTTTAAAGTCACTAACAGAACTGGCTTCTTATTCTTTCATCGCATATGCAGCATTTGCTAACTGCTCTTGCCTTTCTCTCGTTTGCAATGAAAGCAATTCTGCTCCTGTACCCCTTTGCTGTTCCTTGGTGTGAAAAGTAGAGTGAAGAGTATTTTCATCCTTTCAGTATTTGCAAATTCTTACAAAAGCCACGTGGCTGTTCTTCATTTTTTTATTATATACTTTGTAAGTATGAAGTAAGTGATTGGATCACTTTCAAAGCTGTGAAGATAAAGCATATTAAACAATCTTGGCAAAATTTTGCTGCTAAAGATGTAAAGCCATTGCCCCTCAGGGAAATTCTCATATTTGGAGATAAAATAAAAACCCAGTTATTTGTGGGAAAACAGCACAATACTTCACTCTAGCAGATTAGCAAGGGTTTTTCTCTCCTATTGGCAAAGGCTACCCTTTCTACTGATGTCAGTGGATTTTATTCTCAGTGAAATCGCATTTCAAAGTAAGTAAACATTTGAAAGAAAGTTCATTCTTACTGTAATAATTTTTGTGTTTTTGATAGAAGTTTGTTTAATTATCATCTATGTTATCTTGGCCTTCTGAAATCCCCAACTCAATTGACAACACAGATGATTTTTTAAAAAATATAGCTTCTACTTTGTGTGTGTGAAAATTTTACCTAAATAAATGTTAAATAATTAAATTTTAACTAAAGTCAATAATGTTACCATTTGGACTTCAAAAATTTTTGTTGATTGTAAACAACACAGTAAATGCTATGGTACAACTTTAATTCGGAATCTTTTATTTTTGCCCGTTATGTGGCTTGAACTCTGGGCCTGGGCGCTGTCCCTCAGCTCTTCAGCCCAAGGTGAGCGCTCTACCACTTGAGCCACAGCGCCACTTCCGGTTTCCTGGTGGTTCACTGGAGATCAGAGTCTCACAGACTTTCCTGCCCAGGCTGGCTTTGAACCGCGATCCTCAGATCTCAGCCTCCTGAGTAGCTAGGATGACAGGCGTGAGCCACTGGCGCGCGGCTTAATTTGGAAGCTTTTGAGGGACAATATGAATCTAATAGCCTGTTTTATGACCACGTGAGGTATTTCAGGCCCGTGTAACAGTGGCTTGTGGGTGGGCTGTTGGTGGTGGCTGGGGTGTGTGTGTGTACTGACAGCTATCACCTCTAGGGAAAGGCAGGTGCGGCGCCGTCCCGGGTGGGTGCGCGGCGCCCCCGGCCCGCCCCGCCCCGCGTGTCTAACGCCCCGCTCTGTGCACACAGCGCAGCGCAACCCCGCGGCCCAGCTCCCCGCCCGGCAGCAGGAGGTGGAAATGAGCCGGCAGCAGCGCTTCTTCCGCATCCCCTTCATCCGCCCGGCCGACCAGTACAAAGACCCCCAGAGCAAGAAGAAGGGCTGGTGGTACGCGCACTTCGACGGTCCGTGGATCGCCCGGCAGATGGAGCTCCACCCAGACAAGCCGCCCATCCTGCTGGTGGCCGGTGTGTGCGCTTCCCGCGTCCGCTTCCGCTCCCCGGGGCGCCGCAGGGGAGGCTGGGGCCAAGGCCTCCGGGGCGGCGAGGCCGGCAGTGGAACCCCATCTCGGGACTAGCTGCTCTCGAACTGATTTCCAACCCCCGTCCCGAGACACTGCACTGGCGTGGGGCGGGCGCCGCGTGCCCTCGGGGACCGGCTGGGCCGAGGGTGCGGAAGGTGTTGGGGGGGTTGGAAGGGTCCTCGGCGGGAGTGGGGGGAGAGGCGGCATCCCCCAGTTCCCCACGTGCGTGTCCGGGCGCGCGCACGCACGCACGTACGTGGATGGTAACTCCCCTCCCGTCCACGCAGGCAAGGACGACATGGAGATGTGCGAGCTGAACCTGGAGGAGACCGGCCTGACCCGCAAGCGTGGAGCGGAGATCCTGCCGCGCCAGTTTGAGGAGATCTGGGAGCGCTGCGGCGGCATCCAGTACCTGCAGAGCGCCATCGAGAGCCGCCAGGCGCGGCCCACCTACGCCACGGCCATGCTGCAGAGCCTGCTCAAGTAGGCCTGGGCCTGGCTGGGAGCAAGGCCTGGGCCTGGGCCTGGGGGCGGGGCCTGGGAGCAAGGCCTGGGCCTGGGGGCGGGGCCTGGGCCTGGGGGCGGGGCCTGGGCCTGGAGCCCAGCCTGGACCCCCCCACCCCCAGCCCTCCTACCCCACCAGCCCACCCCAGCCAGCCGTTCTCATGAATCATGGCTTTGTGTCCGGTGGTTTAAGGTTAATTAAGGTTGTGGATGTGAACTTTTTCCCTCACGCAGCAGCTACTGTAGCCCGCACACCGCCCCTTCCTCTCCTGCTGTACTTGTCAGCAGCCTACCTAAACCTAGCATCACGATTTCTTTTCAAGGAAAAGGGAATCTGGGAGAACCTTCCAAGTCCTTGCTCTTACAGGATGACGTAGTACCTTACAGCTGGAATAATGAAACGTGGGCTGAAAGGTCTTACAAGAATCAAGGTACTTTAACATGAGCCAAGAATTCTGGTGATTTCGTTCCGGAAAGCAGTGTATTTTTGTCTGCGTTTTCAGGAGCTCATAAAAATACGGGAATTGTGACTTCCCCCTTTCGTTTTGCAGTATGTCCTAGTTTGGGTGAAGCAGTTCTTTCTTCAGTTCTTGAACTCTGGAAAGAGCCTCACTAGGTGTAATAATCGATGCACTACCTGTGCTAATTAAAGGTGACACTGCTAATCGAGTCCCTCCAGCACGCACTTGGGTTTTCTTTTCTAACAAAGCGTGCGCTGCCATCAGAATGTTCTTTTGCTATTTCATAGGCAAATAAAAGAAATGCAGATACTTCTGAGATCTGTTTTGTTTCCTTGGCAAGGGCACATGGTTTAGGTAGCACCTGTGACTTAACTGGACTGAAATCAGATCTTTTCATTTCATCTCATGGTGATTTTTATATGAGAATCTTGTCCAAGTTTTTCCTGTGAGTTGGTGTTCTGCTTCAGATTTCTCTTTTTTTCCTTACATTCCTGGTGTCTTTTTAGCCTTTGAGATTTTTTTTTTGTAATTGTAGAGCTGTTTTATAAGCTTTGTAATTCAAAAATGTCCTGATACTTTGTAATTGTGCGTTTCATGCTACAGAGAATTTCAGAAGAGTTTTTTCTTGTGTGCTGTTAGTCTTGATCAAATGTCAGCAGTTTCAAGCCTAATATTTATGACTTTCATATTAGGAATTTAGGAACAAAAAATTTATCAAGGAGTTACATTGACATCCTAAGGCATCTTGTTTGTATTTTAGAATAAAATTAGACAGTAAAATTATTCTCTACTTTTCATTGTTGATTTTTAAATACCCTAACCTTTGAAATGAAATTTCAGTGGTTTTTGTTTGTTTCTTAGGAAGAATATCCCAGTTAGGAAAGTATTTCCAGGTGGAATAGATTAACGTTTGTAACCACAGTCTCTGTTCTGGGAGCTGCTTCTCTGACAATATGATAATGTGTCTTAACAGAGATATTTATTTATTATGATACTATGCAAATGATTGCCTTGAGTTAAGGAAATTGCAAAGCACCATCTGTGCTATTAATTGAGAATGTGAATGTGATTGGATTCTGGAGGTTCCACGCCCAGGGTCATTTGGGCCTGTGATTGGTGGCACTGGGTGTAGATGCTGAAATAAATGACCGGTTTTCTCTCTCTTGCATCTCTTTGCTTTTAATTGGTGTTTTTATTTGTGTAGGAGAGTGAATGGTAAGCCCAATTTCTTAGGAATGAGTAAAGTCCTTAAAAAAAAATTAACAGCCCAATTGATTTTTAATGACTCTTTAGTACAGTTTTCTGAAGTACTCTCATATACCTTCTAGATGCCTGATAGGTTCTAGATGGGAAACAAATCAAGAAGGTTTAAATTCACTAAGGAAAGAACTTAATGTTTTGAAGAATTTATACGAAATATGTGACAGCGATGCACTGTGTTGTCTTTTTTGGTTTTTGACTTATAGTTAATAAAATGACAGTTAATCCGAAGCCAGTTTGTTTCTAATTATGCCACCAATTGCCTAGAAGTTGTCTATTTAAACTTGTCTCCTGAGTTCATCTTGCCTCCTAGGAGAACTGCCCTGATTCAGTTAGTGTGACCTACATTTAGTAAATGCATACACCGCATGCATACATGCACATGCAAGTGCACATGCACGCACACACTCCCTCGCTGGAGGAACTGTCAGCCTATTAGAAATGGCAGAAATGCAATCTTGTGCTCACAACCAAACCCCAAAGACTTAGGAATTAAAATTTACCAAGTCCTTTAACATCAGCCATGTTCACTGAGATTTAAAATGAAATGTTTAAGCCAATATAATGTATACTAATCTTAATGCTTGTCAATACAAGTTCCTCCCCAAAAGAAAATATTAAAAAGAAGGAACAAAGCGTGTCCACATTCCGCTCCATATTAACGGGCCCCTCTAATCCACTTGTGTTAAGAGAACATAGGTTTTTTGTTTTTGTGTGTGGTATCTGTCCTGAGGCTTGAACTCAGGGCCTGGGCACTGTCCCTGAACTATTTTGCTCAAGGTCAGTGTGCTACCACTTGAGCCACAGCTTCACTTCTAGCTTTTTGGTGATTAAGTGGAGATAAGAGTCTTATGGACTTTTCTGCCTGGGCTGGCTTCAAATTTTAATCCTCAGATCTCAGCCTCCTGAGTAGCTAGGATTACAGGTATAAGCCACTGGTGCTCAACAAGAACACAGGTTTTTTTTTTTTTTTTTTGGGTCTGGTCGTGGGGCCTGAACTCTGGGCCTGGGCGCTGTCCCTCAGCTCTTCAGCTCAAGGCTAGCGCTCTACCACTTGAGCCACAGCGCCACTTCC